CCCTGATTAAATCAGCTGCTTAAGTCAAACAACAGGTTATCTGCGAGCCCTTCCCCAGACAGTGCCTCCACGTTGCCGAGTGACTGTCAGGGTTTTCAGGCACTTAATGTGAAGCGAAGGGATTGGCTGCAGGGCTGATGCAGAGCTGATTTCACTTTAAAAGAGCGATAAGGGCCTCATCTCAGTTTCATCACACGTTTTCTGGTATCTAAATGTAAATACACTGATACACAGTACTTTGTTCTCCCTTCTTCTCACACCTAATGTATATTAAACTGTCACACCTGAAAGTGTGACTATAAACACTTTGGAGAAGAAAAGTGTCAGTCAGATAGACTAAAAGTAAAAAGAAATAACAAGATCTTGTGTATTTTTTTTAACCAGTTTCAATGATTGAGTTCACTACGCAGCTTTAATACAACACAACTGTTAGTATCGGAAATCTCAACATGCTGTCGATCACTTTCTACCCTCTAATGGAAGAGAAGCGTTGGATTGTGCTGCTAATAGAAGTCTTGTGGTTTCCTTCATTTCCAGGTCTCATGGTTTCATGGAAATGCATCACACTCACAAAACCCATGACATGGCTAAAAGCTCTGCTCTTCCCTCCTCTCCCATCCTTTAAGGCGCTGAAATGCTGGTGTGTGAATTTCACAAGACAAGGTGTGTGAGAGGTCTGTGTTTGTGTATGCGCTAAGTCCCCTCAGGATTATCACATGACTCATGGTTAACATAAGTACAGGCCGGGAACAGGCTTATGTCAAGGAAGGGAAGGAGAAGCAGGGAGGGAACATTCCTCATCAATGAATGCGTAATGTCGCTTTGTATTATGATGTTGAATAAGTTTTAAACTGGAATTAGACTACAATGCCTTATGTACTTTTCTCCCATTACGAAGCTACTTTAGGATGCTCATTTTACTATAGGTGTGTACTATTGTTCCGTTTACTTTATTAAATTGGGGAAACTATCAAGCAATTTTTTCTAAATTTGAACCCCATTTTTAGTGCTTCTCAGTCTATTTTGTAGTTCTTTGTGTTTATTTTTACTCCATTGGCTTGTATTTGTGTAGTATTATTTCATGTATTTATAAAATTCATTTCAGTTCTGTTTTATTATAGTTATGTTTGGACAGTTTCCAACTCTTTTTGACTTATGACTACTTCTAATGAAGTTAGATTCAACCAACAAACAACGCTGAGTTCGGAGGATTAGCTTTTCTTTTACAATCAAAGGTATTTTTAATGAGCGGTCTTCGCCATCTGTAATTTTCCAGCCATGTTAAGATAAGGGAGAGGACTTGAAATCCTAAACTCAAGGTGGAGAAAAATTAGGTTCTAAAGCCAATTTAATCAATTAATGCAAATGTTTTCATTCAAAATCCACACAACATGAATTTGATTTAATTACCAACATTATTCTGTCAAACTATCCCACCAAAAAAAATTTTTATTTTTTATTTTTAAAAGGTTTATGAAAATCAGTAAATTAGATTCATCATAACATGAACCTACTTTTTTTTTCTATTTCATCTGAAGGCACTTCCCCCTACAATATTATATAATAGGGAAAAGTCCAACAAATCCATTGATTCCCTTTGAGTAAGCTCTTTGGATGCAGTATGTAGTAATCATTAGTGTGTTTCATAGTACAGTTCTGTCTATTTTCTAGTACTTTGCATGTTTTCTTGTACTCCTCTGTGTGTTTTCTTATTTTTAATTCAGAGCCCTGTAGTGTTGGCACATTATGTGGCTGATGTAGTAAATGTTACCTTTAGCTTTATGTCCACTGGTCAAAGCTCTGTGGAAAATGTAAAGCTGAGGGACATTCAGAGATGATGCAAGCACTGGGTGTTTATTTTGTTTTCACATTGCCTCTTTTGCTTTAGTTATTTTCTCCTGCTCTCTGTGCTCACGTATGCTTTTTATTACAGCAGAATTTTCTATATAGCTGTTCTCATTGACATATTTTTCTGTTTCTGTTTTTCGACAACAGAACATGTATGGAATAGTGACTGAAATGGGGCCCATTAAGACAACATGCTAACCAGCAGTCACCTCAGAGCCATTTACCAAGCTGTGGCTCTGCACCTTTAAATACAGATTTTATAACCAAAAACTCAACACACACGAATTTAGAACAACGGCTGTGCTGCAAATTTGACCGTTCAACATTTCCACGTCAACTGCTGTGATTGACAGTGCAGAGAGAGTTTTCTTACTGAATGGGATGGAGACAGCTGCAGCTCACTGGTTTTTAGAGTGAAACAGCCCGTCTAGAAAAGCTGATGGTAAGATGCCCCATTTTTGCAGTACTGCCTACATAGAAACCCCCATCTAAAGCATCCCTTTGAGTCATCATACTGGTGACAGCGAAGAGGAAATGTTTGTTTTTTCAATAGTAAGAACCCCCGGCAGACCCAGGCTCAGGAAAGGCAGCTGTCTGCCTCGACCAGCTGGGGTGAGGGTAATCGGGAAAGAGAAACAGATAGCAGAGTAACACAGAGAGCGCAAACTAAATATCATAAACACTGGACAGCTTGGAAGTACCAGTAACTGGAGATCAGACTCATGCAGCTCCAGAGCCAGAAATATCTGCAGAGAGGTATGAATGCTAATATTCCACTGGACAGGCCTCATAAATATGATCATTAAGTGCAGAGTCTTTGCTGTTGATCATCAAATGGCGCTGGAGACTTAAAGCAGCGCTGCTGGGACTCTAAGGGCCCTCATGACAAAGAAGAAGAGGTGTTTAACTTTGTCACCATGTAATTCTCTAAAAATACTTTTTACAATAACTTAGAAAATGTTACCTATCAGACAAAATCTAATGAAATAGTGTGCAGTGTAATGCATTTTGTCCCACCTTTAAAGGATCCTTTACAACTTCTCTCATTCACTTTTTATTTCACTGAGACTGAAGACCAAACTCAGTTGTTTCACATATAAGATGTCTGTGATGGCTGTTCTCGCTGGTTTGTGGTAAGCTGAATATATCATGTGATGTGCTTTCATGAGTTTAGCCACGTTCAATTCAAAATGTGATGACAGCTGTGGCTTCTCCTTATGTTGGAAAAAAAATGTGACCAAACCACATGGAATGTTAAACTCCAGATGAATATTACTTCACTTTTTTTTTCTTTCTTTTCCTAGACTTTAATGCACTGACTTGCTGATTTAGTCATGAATGTTCTATAGATACATGTAATAATTGTCAGAATTAAGATCTAGAAACACCTTTTCCGGGGGTTTTGGAGACTCGTCACTTCCTGTATTATGAGGAAAAGCGTATCATAATCGTAAAACTAGGTTGGATTATAAAGTAGGCAAGGTGGGAAACTGACGTAAGTCAGTTGCATGTTATTACCTACAATTTAATCATTTTCAAACTGGCAAAGTTATGCTTGAACTTATGACAAATATATATTTGGGCCGAAAACTGACTAGCTTTTGCCCTGAGGTCATGGACTGACTTCATGAGCCATGAAGTTGAATTAAGTACTGAGCTGAAAGTATGAATCAGTTTGTCCTGGTTGGAAAAAATAAAGTTCAGGGATTTTGTTCAAAGAGTTTGGGCTCAATTAGGCTGTCTAGTTGCATCTACAGTGATCTAGAGCATCGCCCATGTTTCACTTTTGTGATTTATATTCTAGCATTTCTAAGCACGTTTTCCAGTATTCAGTATGTTGGTTTGTACTCTTCAGTGTACTTTATAGTACTCTTTAATCTATATTTTAGTTGTCTGTATATTTTCTAGTACTCACTTGTTTACTTTTCCATACTCTGTGTATTTTTTAGTACTGTTCTGCAAACTTTCTAGTAATCTTCAGTGAATTCTTTGGTACTGCAATATATATATTTTTTTGTGCTCATTGGTGTATTTTTTTTAGTATCCTCACTGCATCATTGAGTACTCCTCAGGGTATTTTTTTTTGTTCTTTTCTGGTTATATTCTTGCACTCCTCGATCTAGTTTTTACTCATCTGCATTTTGTTAATATTCCTTTATTACTCCTCACTGTATTCATCAGTGCTCCCCAGTGTATTTGTTAGTACTTCACAGTGCATTTTAATGGGCTACTCCTCCGACTATTTCCTAGGACTCCTCATAGTATTGTTAAGTTCTCCTCAGTATGTATTCTTGTACATATCAATGTACTTTTAAAAGACTACTCCTGTGTATTTGTTAGAACCCATCAGTGTATTTGATAGTATTTCTCAGTGAGTTTTTCCACAGTCTACCCCTCAGTGTGCTTGTCAGCACTCTTAAATATATTTGTTAGTACTCCTCAGAGTATATATGTTAGTACTCCTTGGTGTAGTTTAACTTACAGTATTTATTATTATTATTATTATTATTATTATTATTATCACAAACCATATTTAGACAGCACTTTTCACAATACATGTTATAAAGTACTTTAAATCAGAAGCAAATTAATCATCAAGTTGAAAAACAGATTTATATAAAAACCAAAGCAGGGTAGAAAGGTAAAAATATAAAATACATTTAAAACCTCAAATGATCTCAAAGAGCGTGTTGGCACATGAGGTACTAAAAGGTTGGAAACACAGCTTGGAGAAAGGCCATGTAGGCCATGTTCAGTACTCATAAGTGTTTTTTAAAGTACATCTCAGTGTACTTCAGTCTACTCCTGTGTGTGTTAAATACTCCTAATTGTCGTTTGTAGTACTCTCAGTGTAATTCAACAGTCCACTCCTGTGTGTATTAAAGAACTCTTGACTGTATCTTATAGTACCTCTCAGTGTATTCCAACAGCCTACTCCTGTGTGTATTAAATACTCCTGAATGTATTTTATAGTACCTCTCAGTGTACTTCAGCCTACTCCTGTGTGTGTACTTAATACTCCTCAGTCTATTTGCAGTAGTATAAACAGGGGGCGGGGCCTGCTTCCATTTTAGGAGCGGGTCGGGTGACGTCACGCGGCCAGCGCCCCTGCGCACCACACAAGTCGGAACACGCGCCGAGCAGCAGCTAGAGGAAGCTCCAGACGTCAGTTGAACATGGCGATGAGCTGGAGAGCTGTCAGCCGCACACAGAGGAAAACAAACGCCGTCAGGGCCACGGCGCTTCTCTGAGAGCCAGCGACGGATTTCATTTGACTGCTGAAGCTTCCCCTTGCGCATTCATCCGCATTTCATCTTTTTCTCTGCTACTTCTAGGACGTACGCCGAAGGAAGAAGGGGGGAGGCGGTAGAGCGGAGTTGACAGCTAACGTTGCGGGCTCAGCTAACGTTTACCTGGACGGTCTGACCACTGCTAACCAACGCTTAGGGAGCTAGCTATCGATCCCATCAAGCGCTCAGCTGCTGGGGTTAACTCCTGGTGTACTAAAGCGCTATTAGCCAGTCGATAATAACACGGCATGATTCAGTGAACTGTTGCTCTGTGTTGCTCGTCACTCATGTCCAGGTAGTCCGTTTAAATCTAACCTGTGAGTTGTCGTATGCCGCGTTCGTGTTGCTTGTTTTAGTCGTTAGTCGAATAGAAAAAAAATGTCAGATAACCAGAGCTGGAACTCCTCCGGGTCTGAGGAAGATCTGGAGCCGAGAGAGGAGCCTGGACATCCCGTTGGAATCGCCGAGTTCAGCGGAGTCCTCAGTAAGGTGAGAGAGCAAAGTGAATGTGTCTGTCAGCCTGACAAACATAGACGGAGGCTTCATTGGTTACCCAGCGCCTCAGTGTCATTAAAGAGAACATATTGATTTGCAAGGTGCAAGGCTAAACAAACAAAAGACAGAAGAGGGGGGCATGAGAGGAAAATTGTATGTGTGTTGCCTCAGCAGGGAAAATATGACAAACGTTGATTTCCAGGGTAACAAACATTCAAAAGCCTGACAGAATACCTTGGAGCCTCCCTGCATTATATCCCATTAAGCTTTAAATTGTCACCAGGTGCTTGATCTTTGTATTTTCTTCACTTAAAATGTATTTTCACTGTAATTTGAAGGAGAAATTGAAACATAAAAAATCATTACAAAGCAGAAAATGAAGAATTTCCTGGGTTACCTGCTGAATGTGACCCCTCCTAATGTTCACACGGAACCTGCAGCCAAGTGCTGAAGGCGTAACTGCCAGGGAGGCGCCTGTCTACATGTCAGGGAAAAATTAGGTAATCGTAGGATGTTATGGCAACTCATGGCATATCCAGTTGAGGGACGGGTTATCCAGAATCCACAAAGTACCATTTCTAAGTTGCAGGAATATCAGACTGGTAATCCCCACTGAAGCAAAAAGGAAAGCCCCCAATAGAAGTGAAATAGATGTGCAAGGTATAGGTTGCACAGTTGGATATATTTGCTCCTGGGTGCTTTTAAAAGTATTAAAAGCTGTTGCTGCATTGCTGAAAACACTAAAATAACTGTAAATTAACCAAACGTCTGTGCTGTGGACCAGTTTTCCACACATTGCCCCTTGATATCTGCTCCGTTGGCAGCATTTTCACACTGCTGCTACCAGCTGCTTTTACATTTCCCTCAAAAAAGGGTTAAACATACGGACTGATCTAGTGGTTCACTGCCTACTGTCGACTACTAGACTAATGGCTGGTTATTTTAATTATCCATTAATCAGTTTGAGTAATTTTTTAAGAGTAGAAACGTCTCAATTCTCTTATTCCAGCTAATTAAATTTGAATGTTTTCTTGTTTATGACAGTAAACTGAACCTCTCTGTGTTGTGGACATTTGCGGATGTCGTCTTTGGTGCTTGGAAACATTGATCTGCATTTTTCACTGTTTTCCAACATTTTACAGACCAAACAAGTTATCATTTAGTTGAGAGAATAATCTACAGATTAATCTACAATGTAAATAATTAATTGTTGCAGTTCTGCTCCTGAAGGACTAATTTAAAAGGTTAAAGCTGGCCTGGTGCACATTCCTATTCCATGACTGCTGTTATCACAGTGTGAATAGAGCAAATGGTGTTACGGGTTACAGGCAGATGTCCAGCTATACTGTAAATATTGGTTTGACGACAGTATGCAAGCTGCGGGAAAACATTTGCTGGGACACCGGTACAAGTACACTGTGTTTGTGATGTGAGCGCACTGAGTGAATAACAACGCTGCAAGCTATTGTTGATCTGTTCTGTTCTGTTTTCCTTTGGTAAACAGACTGTTAAGTCCACGGCTAGACATAGTCTTGGTAACCTATTTTGCCATATGCTTCTGCTCACTTGTGCGAGGCTCTGTTTTGGGAAAACTGACCAGTTTTAATTCGTTAAGCTGCTAGCAAGCTAATGTGGTATTAATCTCTCTGAACACTGGTTGGCTCCTAACAGATTGCATGCTGACCCGCTAACCAAGCATATTGAGAGATTAAGCAGATCCATCCAGAAAAGCTCACCTGTTCAATCATACTAAGCCGTGTACACGTCATAGTCTTGTGTGGATTAATGAGTTGACACCTTACATAAAATCTCACATGTCCTAACTAAGGTTTCCCCAGAAAAGCAAACAAGAGTTCTGTAATAGTGAAACTTAAAAATGTGCCTGTTGATGCTGTGTCAGAGATGTGTTGTTTCAACTTTGACCTGAATATTGAGGCTGTGGTTTAAGTTTCTGTAGTTTTAAACCGCACCACTATAAAGCAAATAAGGTTGAACATGAAGTACGTGACTTCCCAAAGAATGCCACAAAGTGCAGCCTCTGAACATGCTATAAAATACTAAACATACCATTTTACTCCTCGCTCACTAAACTGAAGTGGTTGTGGGGTGGTATTTATTGCACAGCTATGTTATTCCATGACATCCTGTAGGTGTTTTTGTTTTTCTTGTGTCTCAGCATACAAAGATATTGATAATATTGATTTCTGTTTTCAGTGGACAAACTACATCCATGGCTGGCAGGACCGTTGGGTTGTGCTGAAAAACAACACGCTGAGCTACTACAAGTCTCAGGATGAGACCGAATACGGCTGCCGAGGCTCCCTCTGCCTCACCAAAGCCGTTATTACTGTGAGTACCGCTGAGTTTTGTTTCTAGTAGCAGTGCTTTACCATTCTGTTCAACTTGCGCAATGTTAGGCCTTCCTGACAAAACAAGAATGAGCACTGTCGTTTGTGCAAGAAGGTTGCATTTTGGCTCGAAGAGAGGAACTCTCACTCTTGCTTTTGCTTTTGACCAGAAGTTTTGGCTGTTACATGCAAAATACACCACTGTTTGGAAATCCCTGAATTTCACCCCCCACTTTGCATGCTTTATTCAAATCTTATAAAAAAGATTTGCTTCTCATTGAAAATTAGATTTGGTTGTACGCTGCACATAGCATTTAGTTCAGCTGGCATGTGAACACAACTCTACTTGTGGGATTGACATTTCACCTAATTCCACAATTCTGCATGAACTCAAAAACATTCAACAGGAACGGGGGAAAAAAAAGGCTTTCTGTGTTTATTGCGGCACTAATTTGGCCTTGTAATGTGAGATGCTGCTTCAGATTTTACCTGACCAGTTTTTAAAAATCAGTTTCCATTTAATGAACTTTGTTACGTTTTTCTTTAATATACAGTCAAAATGACAGCAAAGATGTCGTTGTGTACTTCCACAGTCCCTCCACCCACCCCCTCTCCTCTCCCCTTAGCCTCTCACATGGTTTTGAGAAGTTTGGCATCTGATATGTAAGATGTGATTCAGATGTCAGGCATCCTCCATATGTTTCTTTTAAAATTCATGAAGGAGTTCAGATGTTTAACCCCAGAGTTTCTCACAACATAGGTGAAAACCTATTTTTACAAAGAACTGATTATGTCCCAAGTTATGCTTGAGGATCACTGGCTCGTCAGGTGACTGGTCTAGTTTAAAAACAGCTTGCTATGTGGTAACACTTCACTGGAAGCTCTGTCATGGGACTCATAATGCCGTGTCACTGTATAGGATAGACCTAGAAACACTGCTCCACAACTGTTAGGAACATGTAGTAATTGAAGCAGACACTCTCATGCTCATCATACTTTTAATAATAGCCTGTCACACAGATTACAGAAATCTGTCACACATTGCTAAGCACCGAAAAATTCAATCCAAATGTGTCAACAGTGTTCAGTCCTGGATGTTGACACTGTTTCACCTTTCATCATGTTTCAGGGGGAACGCAGGTCAGTCACCTCAGACTGTGTCTCTTTCCAAACAGTGACAAGGGAAATGAATAAGTTACTGTTTCCAGGCAGGCTTTGCTATTAGGTGTATTTGTTCAGCTTCATCCATTCCCAGCATATGTAAATATTAACCTCCATGTGGTGCTCTGCTGTAGTCGCCTCACATTCCAGTGGAAATATGCCTCGTAAGTGTGGGGCATAGATAATGAATTGTCATGCTGGTGATGGTTATCCACGGACAGTTGTTGTCTTTTTTCAAAAGGAAATCTAGTTTCAATTTTTTTCAATATTTGTCTCTATGATTCTTAAACTCTCAAACACAGATGAACCATGATACAGTAATAGGAGTCGTATGCAATAGCTCAACTGTTGTGAAGTGCTTCACTGCGAATGTGTTGTCACTTTTTTAGAAACCATCTTTGCAGTTACTCATTACTTAACAACCAGTTTTCGGGCTTCTTACTATGTCATTTCAGTTATAGGCCAAGGATTCTGAATTATGTCAGGAGTGTCCACCTGCTGTGGAAAGAGAACATTCCCCCCAATATAATGTCTCCGTCCTTGTATAGTTGAGGGCTCTCAGGATCTCCTCTCCGCCTGCACACTGACTCCTCAGCCTGAGACAAGAACGCCACCAACAACAGCTGTAAAAGGACAGAAAATGTGTATTCCAAAACAGGAAAATAATAGTTTTCAAAAAAAAGACTATGTGTATTCATATATTTGCATATAAAGAGAGGTGACAAATTATGAATATTATTATTGTTGTTGTTGTTAATAATAATAATCATAATGATGATGATCTTTGCTGACTAATGGCTCCTTCACAGAAATACAGCAATAACAAAACAATAAAATAAACAATTAAACATTAGAAATGGGCAACAATTGCACATGAGAAAAGACATCATAGACTACATGCAAAGGCCATTTATGTATAGGTGTGGTTTTATAGGGTCCCTATGAATCTATACACAGTTTTTCTGAGTAATCACCTTTATCTTATGATGAAACATCCTGATGTGGGTGGTATCTTCCAGGATGACAGTGGCCCCATCCAAAGGGCTCATTTCACTGAATGGTTTGAATAAAATGTGAATCCCATCTTATGGCTGTCACCAGATCTTAACCCAGTTGAACACCTATAGGAGATTTAAATCTGATTTGCACTCTTCATCACTGCCATCATCAAAAAAACAAATGAGAGAAAATCTTTTGGAGGAATCGTGTTTATTTCTCTCGTAGTTCCACAGATCCAGAGACTGATTGAAGCTGTTCTGGCCGCACGTGGTTACTTTACTAAAACACTTTATGTTGGGGTTTTCTTGAATTTGTCACAATCTGTGTGTTTACTTCAGAGGGAAGTCAGTGCTCTGCTTGGCACTGGGCGTCATTCACAGGTTCACACCACATTTGAGAAATGTGGGTAAACCTGTAAGATAATTTCTTCATTTTAAAAGACCCGAAGCGTAAAGGCATTTCTCAAAACAATATCGTGTCGCAATGTTATAACCCAAGGATGCACCTTGTTGCTGGTGACCCATTCTTCCCTCCTATTTTATTTCTAATTATTCCTCTGTCTATGGAAGCTGATGACACTGAACTGGATAACATTCAGCCAACGTACTATAACCAATATACAGTGTATGTGGACATAGAGAACTCATTTTACAGATGCATACCATCAGCATTAGCACTGGGCAGGCTTTTTATCAATTAAGTAAACACAGCTTATATTAAGCCCACATTATCTCTGACTCATTAACAAGAAACCTTAGTCAGGTCAGTAATGCAATTAATATTAATAATTTATTTCCTTACGTTTCCTACATTCTTACGATCAGTGACTCATCAGCTCACTCATCGCTTTTGTCCTTGATTAACAGCCTTGATAGCGTGGATGATGTTGTTTTCCCCTTGTAAGCCTGTCTGTCTGTATGTGCATGCGTGTAATCATGGCAACATGTGGTCATGGACGGGTGGTGTAATCCCATCACAGGATGTTCTCTAGTTGTTTGGTTGTTTCTGCTTCTCACTATTGTGTAGTTTGAAGAAGTAAAAGAGTTCAGTTGGGCGTCATTGTTACTCCACTAGCTCCATATTTAAATACTTCTCTTGAGGCCGGCTATCAACCGCATAACAATGATGCCCTTCTTGTAGATGTACTCAGAGTTGTCGTGCCATTTGTTTCAGGAGTGGAGGACATTTATGACGCATAAGTGCACAAAAAGTTGCAGTGCAAGCAGAGGTCAAGCTCTTTGATTAAACTAGGATATGCCAGGCTCCAGAATGTGAGCAAAATGGCTGCATTTGCAACCTTTTTTTGATAGTGTGAGAGTTGAAAAGAGCGCATGTAGAAAAAAAAAATCACTCTTGTTTCATTTAGGACAAATCTGACATTAGAACGGCCCAGTTTAACTCTTCCAAAGTCCTTTTTGGTCACACACCTGTCTGAGCACACCACAGCTACCAACAGCGGCTACCACAGCATGCAATGTGGGGCGTTCAGGGAACGTCAGTAAATTGTAGGGTCTATCGATAAGAAAACGTTCAGCAAGTGATGTGTTTTGCCTGTGACAAGGTGGGAGGTGCAACCAAATAAGAAAGTTGGTTGCACTGGTGCTCCCAGTGAAAAAGTTCGTCTGCAGCTTAGCTATGAAAACGGAACTACGTAAGCTTTCATTTTATACGACTGGCTTGTTTTGTAATCTCTGACCATTGAGAAAGCGTCAGAAGACTGAATGACATCAGAAGGCTTCCTTTTCTTCTTTACCAGTTAATGTTAGGTAGGTAGAAAAAAAATATTTTAATTGGCTGCTTAAAGACTTAGTTTTAGGGGCAAACATTTTCTTTAAATGTGTTACTCAGTCCAGTTGACTTCATGAATCGTCAGTACAACGTTGACCATTCTTTTTATTGGCTCTCCTGCCTGATGCTCTAAAGATAATAGAATCTTAAGCACTTAAAAAATGTATATGAATCTTTACTGAAGTATTTGAACTACAGATATTATGTTTTGTCACTTGGAGAAAACTGTTGCAGAGTGTTGTTCTGGCAGCACTACAGCTATGGATATTTTTGAAAGCGGTGGAAAACCAGGAAGAACATCAGTGTGTGTTGGCAGTTGACTTGGAAATGGACTATCTTGTCATGTTATTCCAAGGAGTGGATGCATGGGATTTTCTGTCGGTGCAAAGGTGGGTTTACAACTGTACCTACAAAGGCTTACAAGAACCGCTGCCATTTTTAGATCCATGGTCACTTAATGAGAGCACACTGACCTACTTGTTATTCCCTCCCTCACTGGAATCATTGAGTATTACAGACTGGATCCAAGATTATTTTGAGTCCTGCAACGATCTGGTTTTCGCCCCACCATGTCTGTCACAGTTAACCACCTGCAATGTTTAAAAGGAAAGGAAAAGAGTTCAGGTGGAGGTCAAACAGACCGGTACAAGTGACATCAGGCTCTGTGGAAATGTGCTAAGTGTCTTCAGCCAGGAAATGTGACTCTTCCTCACAACATGTGACTTCCTCCACAAACGGGGTTATGAGGAGGGTCAGAAACCACATGCTAGGTTCTGTATGTGTGTGTTTGACTGACTGAATGTTGTTCCTACAGTCACACTCACTTATTTAGAGTTCCCTGTTCCTGTCTTTCACTTTGACCACTTGGTGAGTCAATGTTTCCTTCATGAGGGATCCCGTTTTGGTGTTCAGGGAGTCAGCAGAAGGATGTTCCTGGCACTAGATCTTAGTAATACTGTTGAAGGAAAAAGACACCGTATTTGTCACAACCTACTTTGCTTATGGCATAATTCTACTCTTTAAATCTGTTAAAATTACAGTGAAATACATGTAGGTCTAGTGCAGATTTTGAAGGGTTTCCTCGTGTTTGCCTGGTTTCAGCCGCTCCAAGTCTTAGGCACTGTGATTCCTAGTGATTTCTGTACTCCTGGCCTTTGTGACTGCGGACACGTACGCCGGCTCAGAAGACATTGGAAGGGAGAGGACAGAAGGGGAGTCTTTTTGAAGCCGAGTAGGAAGTTTATGTTTCAAGAGAATAGAGACAGGGTGAAACTGTTTTGTCTCATCATTTAGATTTTGGCATTATATGACTTGTTACACAAAATAGTAAATGATGTCATAAAATGTTGTGTCTCCCTTTTCTGTTCTATTCTCTTCCCTTTTAAGTTAGAAAACTATCCAAAGCAAACAAAGACACACAAATGAGTCCCCAGTGCCAAAGAGTCTGACACTTACGATGTGAGAGGGAAATAAAAGCTACTGTGGGACCCAACACAAAGGGAGGCGTTTGACAGACATCAGAAATAGTTGCAGGCAAAGGCTTCTCAGCATCAAAAATAGGCAAGCATGGCAACACAGTGCCCCAAATTAACAAAGGAAAAACTGCTCTGATGGGAGACTGCTTTGTTATATCAATGAGCGAGACTTAAATGTGTCATCCGCACTGTTGATTGTGTTACGGTTATTTTGTTGCACGCACACTGGCCTTATAAAACATTATCTTTCAAGTTCAACTCCTTCTCACATCTTCTAATGGTCACGATCACAGATACATTTAGCAATAATAAAGACTTACTCCATATTTGATTTGTTCCTTATTTGATTTTTTTTTCCACCAATGAAAATGATGAGAATAGAGATTTGTGTGGGATTTAAAGTACTTCACTGGAATTAAATTGAAAACATCCATCCATCTATGCCTGATTGTGCTGTGATTGGACACAGGAGATTATACGATATTGGACACAGATCATGTTGATTTTGTAGCTCTGTGTTCTTTTGTTTAGGTAGTTGTTATTTGATCTACCTACACAGACATGCACAACACAAGTGGACAGACACAAACTCAAATTCAACATTTTCAGTTTCCTGTTATGGTGGAGCAAATAAGCCATACAGTAGCTAAAAAAATCAATTTTTTTCTTAAATGATTGTCAAAAACTTGGATTCTTTCAATAGTTGACAACTCATTTCTCAGTCTTTGCAGCTCCACACACAAACTAAACACCCCGTGCATTTTCTGTGTCTGCTTGCTTTTCACACAGAGCCCAGACTGACTTCATCGTCAGCATGTCATGTTGTCTTGAAAAGTAGCCCTCCAGTGATGCATTATTCTTTACTGTTGCCTTGGATCCCAGTATTGTGGAACTTGGTGCACTCTTTCATTCCCCAGCCCTTCTCACCAGTCAGTACAGGCATGACCCTGTAGCCCAGAGGTGATAAAGAGCGACTCATTTTCTCACTTTCCCAGCAACCAAATGGTACTAGAATCCCATCTGGCACAAAAAAAACCTGCAAGCTGTGTGCAAGGCAATACCACTGTTTGCGATCAGAAGTTTACATACACGTGCAAAGATCACGTATATCCATTAAAAAAACAAAAAGTTGGAGGAATCATTGGAAACTTAAGACTTCCAATATATACATATACATTTAGCAGTGTTCATAAACTTGCTACTTCTAGTCCAGTCAGTTGCAAGTTGTATGTTGAAACAGATTGGTGTAATCCCATGTTGTACAGAGAAGGAGGATGTTGAAGTTGTCTTCCCTGACACGACTGATGTAGAGTTAAGGATGCATCACACTTGTTTCCTTCCTTGCTTGTGCTTCCTCTTCTCATCTGTCTCTGTGACCGCTGCTGATCTCATGCGAGTGCCGACGTTAACTCTTAAATGAGCATCAGATTTGGAAAGCTTTTAGTATTCATCCTCATGTTGTGCATTATTGACACAGAGCATTTTGGTCTTGGCCTCAGAGCAGCCCAGATGCCAGGCAGCAATAGCCAAGTCACACTCTTGCAATGAAATCTCCTTAAAGACACTATAGTGGGCCATTTGTTACCCTGCCAAGGCACTGAAGTAATACAGTCTGTGGTAATGGTTTGGACTGTCTCAGGGCACATGCATCCGCTGGGTCATATTAGATTGCAGTTGTTAATGATTATGTGCTTGTTTGATTATAGCTTGTCTCACAGAATAAAACAGTTTAAGTACTGATAATCTTGCATGGATTAAATAGAGTTGGTAGGCAGGAATAATCGATAAAGTATAATTACAGTGTTTTCCCTCACAGTAATGTTATCGATTCGCTAACCCAAAAAAAAAAAAAAGAAAATCAATATTTGCATGAATTAAACACTACAGCTGCTAATTTCAATCCCTGCCTCTTTCTCTCTGACTGAAAGTGTTCCAAAGATTGCATTTATTGTGCTTCACAAATATGCTAAACCAGAGATTCCAGATGTGTTTATTGTATTGTGGCCAGCATAGGAATGTAGAAAGGTGATTTTTCTTTTCTTACACTGCAAGTCTCTGCTCAGTTTCTTTTTTTTTCTCAAATCGCAGTCCCTCTCTCGCCTTCGTCCTTGACTGCGCTCGAACAAGCCAGACTTGTGCTCATATATCAGCCTGTTCTTTCTCTGTGATGTGAATTTAGCCTTGAGACTCACTGCTGAAGTGTCCGTTCAGAGGACCCAGTACATTTAGTAAATTCAGGTAAATACCGTCGCTGTCGCCACCTCTGCCCTCTTCCACTGCACGCACCAACCCACAGACAGATTCTAGTTGATGACCAAGCCAGCACAGCAGTTTTACAATGCTTAGTGTACACTGGAGGGCTATTAGGAATATGCTCCGTTGTGCAAAATACTTTAAGAGGCCAGTTATCTGCCACTGCTCCTCCTATGGGACTCTGTGTGAAGATGGAGGCCTCCAGTACTCTTTGTCTATCATCCCTTTGAGGTATATAGATTGGATAAATTAAAGACATCCAATTCACATCTCTGAGACTGTGGTGAATCGCCATGTGTTCACTTGTTAAAGCTGACTCAGGAACAGATTGTCGCCCACCATGTGACATATCACACTTTGCTTTTTCTGTGTCATCTTAATCGCTATTTACATGGGTGGCCACCTCGCACATATGCCTCTCTCTGCTCTCCGGACCGCAAAAAGAGATTTGCTACAAAAAAAAAAAACATGACGATGAACTAAGAACTGTACATCAGTATCATCACAGATATCCAGCCAGCTCAGTCTCCATAGCTGGCCTCATTTAACAGAATCCCACACACTGATTAACCTATTTTTTCGTCCTGTTTCCTTTTTCTCTCTCTGTATATTTTTTAGCCTCATGAGTTTGACGAGTGCCGCTTGGACATCAGCGTAAACGACAGCGTGTGGTACCTCAGAGCTCAAGACCCAGAGCACAGACACCAGTGGATCGACTCCATCGAGCTGCACAGGGTAAGTCATGCACACAGCAGGCCGTGAACTCCAAACAAAATCCCTGTCACATTTCAAACAAATACAAATCATTTCATACAAGGCTGGACTTGACAATGTGTGTGATTACTGTATGCGTGTGTGTGTTTCTATTAGAGTATCAGAGAAGGCAGGAGAGACAAGGGAGGAGTCCAGGGAACAATAATCATCCCTCCACCACTGGTGCGTTTGTTGACAAGTCTGTAGGACTGTAGGAGTTCTGGTGTCTTTAGCACAGTACACTGCTGCAGATGGTCTGTGTGTTTGTGATAATACATCAATAACATACATGGATTACTTTGCATAAGCATGTATTCTGCGTGGATGGTTCACTATTGGTGCATGACTGGTGTAATGGCCTTTAACACAGAGGCATGGTTAGCTCAAAGTTATCTTAACCTTGGAGTGGCACAGGGTTAGCGTAATCCCTTTTCACAGACATTTAACACATGGATAACCCTGAAAAGGGTTCCAAGACTTGCTGTTAAAGCTGTTTGAAGAACACAGCTGAAATATAACTGTGTTTAAATAATTTTTCCAGGAGCAGCCTGGAAAAGTTAACCCTCTGACCCTAAAGTAGTTTTGGGATGTTTCTTTTTTTTTGCACCTGTCCCATTTGGTCTCACTGTGAGCTCATTCTCCACAGTAGTATAAAGTCCTGCACCTCTTTGGAAACAGAACGGCTATGGCTAGAAGGAGAGAGTACTCAAGAATGTCCTTTGTGTGGTATGGCAAGGTTATAATGAAACAAAAAACTAAAGTTTAATTTATTTTTCCAAGTGCTCACACATATTACTAATACTGGAAATACATATTGACTGTACATACTATAGATAATGTCACAATTTTGGGTTTGTTTCCATACTTGTCTCCTTTCTGCTCTGTCTAAACGCAACCTGCAGCTCAGCAAACTTCACCCAAATAGTCCTTGGATTTTTTGTAGTGTGGCTCAAGGCTGAGCAGTTCATGGATTCTTGGTTGTGCTAGAAGGGCAGACTTTTTATTTTTTACGCAATCCGATTGGAGCACACAATTTATTTTTGGCATGTAGAAAAAATTCTGGTGAAATATCACAATTTTTTAGCCAAAGTAACATTGTCACTTGAACAGTAACAAGTTCAAGAATCACTGGAAAGTTAAAAATCCAACAGTTTCTTTTTCTGAAAAATGGTCAACATTTGGCAACTCTTTTAAAGGAACATGTGTTTCAAACCTGCCAACAGGTTTTGGGGTTCAGTGGGTTAACTCATCCTGAAGGTGAGCCAGTCAGCTCTGGACTATAGTCAGGAGTTTTCTTGGCATTTGATTAAAATATTAGTACAATGTGAATTTACATGTTGGTGCACTACAAGCTCATGGTTTACGTGCAGCATGAAAAGCCTCGGAGCGCAAGGAGAGCAGACCTAGCAGCCTTTGTGTTTATTCAGTGCGAAGGACAAAGGAAGCAGGTTGCAGACCACTGGGTAAAAGACAATAGGGGCTGAGAAGACCCACGCAGTGTTTACGGCCACACATGCCGGCAAATGCACAAAATCACATTTGTAATTTTTGTTTCGCATTGTTGCTGTAAAGACTCCCAAGTGACATGTAGCATTTATGGCTTTGTTATTCATCCAAGAGAAAAAAAGAAATATGATTTCCAAGTGCACAATATAAAGAACGTGTTTGTTTGAATCCATTCATCTAAAGCAGACATGATCCAGAGTGGCCAGAGTCTGTTTGACTTAGATGAAGCAAAGGCAGTCACCACACCTTCAGTACATCTGCCAAAACACATGCTGCTCACTCGTGGTCCTCGGTTTGGGAAATCCCCTCCTCCTCCCTCTCCTTCCCCCAAACTCCAGTGACTCACACAAGAGCAGGAGGGAGTCATTCTTGTGCACATAACTGCATACCCGGCCATCCCACCCACAATGAGTCACCGCCGAAAACTCTTCTTCCTAGAAGGCCCCGCTTCCCTTTCTAACCCACATTACTCACAGCTCTCAGCAGCCAGCGTCTCCAGGGAGACACAACACACTACAGCGAGCAGCATCAGTCATCTTATAGCTTGAAAAAGTGGAACGTCTAAATATGTAACAACACTCGTTTCTAGGATACTATCACTATTTAAATAAGCCGCACTTGTGTATTTTACACGTGCAACCTTGTAAGATACTGTAAGGTTATCTGTTATGGTGATTTGATTCTATTTCTGTGGAAAGTAACTGTGTTTCTGCTCAGGACAGAAGGATGTTTATCAGCACCAGGTTTTCTATCTCCTCCTGTCCAAAGTCAGTCGTGTATGTGTGTGTGTGCACTCGCTGGGCCTTTAATCACCAGGCACATTTGAAGACAGTTGCACAGTGTTTGCTGTGCTGCATGCAGCTTAACAACATGTGCATGTGTGTACTGTAGCGCTGCGGCTGTTGACAGGAGACCCAGCATCTGATAAATGTTTCTTTTGCAGCTATTATTCAGTATTTTCAGATTTTTATCATATACACCAGCAGCAACAAAGCCTCTGCTTGCTTGTTTTGTTTTTCTGTCATCAAACAGATGAGACAGCTTCCATGCAAACAGTCAGATAGTGCTGATGAAGTCAGTGGAGTAGCAATATGTTGGCTAAAGGGAGAGCAGCAGTGACTGAAATCCATGTGAATGCAGGCAAAGCTACTTCTGGTCATTGACCGACAGTTACCCTGCCTCTTATAAATGCCAGTCACGTGCGTTTACCTGTCATGCCCTCTGGTGGCTGAAATAGGAAATGTTTCTTAAAGGGACACATCTCTGTTTCTCCTCTCTGCTGTCACGACCGTCTATTTTGAGGTCCTGGCAGTTATATAAAGGGAAAAGGGAACCAGTCAGGTTTACAGGAAGTCAGTTGATGTTGCAGTTGTGCTGCCAAAGTCTGTCATGTCGAGCTGCTGCTGATGACACTGAAGCCTTTCAAAATGTTTCATTCCCATGTTAAGAATATTCATATGAAGCCTGTCTGAAAACCTTGTGTACATACCTGAACATAACACAAAAATAAGAGACAAGTGATATTTTATGATTTACTTAGTGTATTTAGCTTTTCAACAACGGTGACAGAAATTTTACGACACAATGATGTGATATTTAACTTCATGAATCTTAAAATCCACCAGCAGGTTGAAAGGGTATTTTTATTTACAGATTCACCTGCATAGCACTGTTTATCACAGCCAGAAACTATGAAAACACAGACTCTTTCAAACAGATTTTGAATTAATCATGTGTGACAGGACATGCTGTGTTTTGAAAAAATAACCAAGTCTAAGCTGAAAAATGTGGCATTTCATTAAAATCACAATCTACGTGACTCACTTTAAAAAAAAAAATCCCAGGTGATAAACCGTTTGCTCAAACCACATTCTGTAAAAAAACAACAACAAAAGAAAGCGCTTATCAGTACAACTGTGAAGACGTGAATGACTCAGCAGCACACATCACAAAAATTCACGGATGTCTTAGGTGAACTAGGCTGAACTGTGGGCTGTCTACCCAAAACAGTAGAGTATATACAGCCACCATGGCTTTTTTTCTAATTTTTGTAACACCTATGGGCACATGGATGGTTGCAAATTATTATTCCTTTTTTTTTTTTTTTTTTTAAATTTCCGTTAAATAAAGAAATTCAGCTTGTCGGTTTCCATAGAGGTGCAGGACTTTATATCGCAGTGAAAACGAGCCCACAGTAACTACAAATGTGACTGGAGCAAAGAACCACCAAGAAACTTCCTGTGGTTAAAAGGGGTTGAAACAATTCAAGATAAACCCACAACTGCATGACATGAATCTGACACTTGAATGATGTGGAGTGCCTGATTAGAAGCCTGCCTTTTATTGGATCACTTCAAGTAACTAGTTTGTCTTTGTTTTTGACTGTTTGTTTTCTGAATCACACCCCGTTTGTTTTTCTGTAGTTCACATCTTTTGTTTAAACAAGTAATTGATTCTTTTATTATAATGAAATGATCATAAACGTGTAGGCTCTGCTGTGGCAGCATCACTGATTTGCTTCCTTTGGTTTTTTTACAGGCTGATTCTGGGTATGGCTCTGAATCCAGTCTGCGGAGACATGGCTCCATGCTGTCTCTCACATCAGCCACCAGTGGCTACTCTGCCACCTCCACGTCCTCCTTCAAGGTGAGTTTTCCGGTTAGTGTTTACTCTAGCTGAGGGAGTCCCTGGCTTCAGTTTGTATCTGCACACATGTGGGATGAGGGATGCATGAGAGATGTCTTGGGATTTGAAGACACAAGCTGCTAATTTTGTCAGGAGCTACGTGTTGGGATTTTTTCATGGAAAAGTAAACAAAAGCCCTAACCACCCTGTTTCTTTATTGTTCGATCAGAAGGGCCACAGCCTGAGAGAGAAGCTGGCAGAGATGGAGACATTCAGAGATATCTTGTGCAGGCAGGTGGACACACTTCAGAAATACTTCGACAGCTGTGCAGATGGTGTGTCCAAGGATGAGCTGCAGAGAGACAAAAGTAAGAAGCACTGACACTCGCACTGTCCACACAACTCTTTTTGTCCAGTTGAATTTCCATTTTTGTGTTTTTAAGTAAAATTAGTGAGTTCTGGGAACCACACATGAGAGCGAATCACAAAAATACATTTTCTCAACTGAAAGACTAACTGGAGAAACTTTAGCTTGCTTTTCAGTACATACATTATGAAAATGTTTAGCCGAGCCGTGCGCTGTCTTGTAAGGAATGTGTTTACGTGTGTGTTGTGACTCAGAAAGCAGTTATTCTACAAGCCCCCTCGCCCTCACCCCGTCTTGGCTGGCTGCACATTTGTTCATGGCAGCCTGCGCTGGGCGCCTGTGGATGACCACAGTGAATGAAGCCCTGCTTTTGTTCTCCTCACCTCCCTCTCTCTGCTGCTCGCTCCCTTTTCCTCTCTCACCCTCTCTCTATTCTAAAGATGAAACCAGACCATTGTCATGTTGTCCAGCACAGCGGAGATCTGTCAGTCTGATGGTGCACTGTGCTGTAGCTTAAGTTGTGAATGGGCCTCTAGGCGCTGCCCTGTCCTGGAGCCCTGACTTCTAGAAGAGTCCTATAAGAAAGAGCTTGCGTGCAACAGCTACCTGTTTGGTGTATTTGTGTTCTCTGAATATTTCTTTTCTTTTTTTCAGTTGTGGAGGATGATGAAGATGACTTTCCAAACACCCGGACAGATGGAGAGTTTCTGCACAATAACAATGGCAGCAAAGAAAAGTGTGAGTAATCCTCACTCGCTTCAAATTTTAAGTATTTCTCTAAGAGGACAGAGAAACACAAAGTTATTGTCAATAAAGCAGTTGAAAAAAATAAGATTAAGACGTTGTACAGCTCTTGTTTTCTCCATAGTTAGGATATATTCTAAACCTTGTAAGGCGTAATCTTGGATTTATCGACTCGATCCAGCACACATGTGACACTGGTCACACAAATCTGGCGTTTATAACTACATTTACCGTTGCCCTCTGCTGCTCTTTTAAGCAGTGTTCCAGTCCTTGAGTCCCAAGGGAATCAATGGCATAGACTTTAAGGGTGAGGCCATCACATTCAAGGCAACCACAGCTGGGATCTTAGCCACTCTGTCGCACTGTATCGACCTCATGGTGAAGAGAGAGGACAGCTGGCAGAAGAGACTGGATAAGGTCTGTAATATCTGCATCGCTGCAGTTTCAAAATATCCATATTTCAGCGGTTTGCTTGAGAGAAGGGCTCTTTAACAATGTTCTCTTCCTCGATTGAATTTTTGTGTGTGTAGGAGATGGAGAAGAGGCGAAGAATAGAGGAGAGCTATAAATCAGCCCTCAATGAGTTGAAGAAAAAGTCCCACTTTGGAGGTCCAGATTACGAGGTAATACAGTCGTGAAATTCATGCATAAGGTAACTCTGATTATGGCTTGTATATTGTATAGAACTATTGTAAGCAATGTTTTTTGTTTGTTTGTTTTAATGACAGGAAGGTCCAAACAGCCTCATCAATGAGGATGAGTTTTTCGATGCGGTTGAAGCTGCTCTTGACAGACAGGACAAAATAGAAGAACAGGTAAGCAACAGATCAGATACAGTTCTTATAAAATGATAACTGCCAAGTAGGAATGCCTGCTAAACCCTGGAATTAAACAGGCCCCAGGGCAGAACTATTAAAGACCAGGAAAAAAATAAGGAAAACAAATTTCCCATTTAAAATTGCTGCATAAATGTTATCCTGCATATTTCATCTTACCAACTGTGTTTCTTATTTGTTTCTAATGTGATGCATTTTCACTATTCCCAGTCCAGAGGCGTCTATTCAGTACGGAGGGACTTCATGTTTTTCTGCTTCTCTCCTGCTCTCTGTGCTCATATATGCTGTATTTAAGTACAGCCGAATTCTCAATACATTTGTTCTTATTTACATATTTTTCTGTTTCTGTTGTCTGACTTTGGAACAAGTATGAAATAGTGACAGAAATGCAGCTCATTAAGACAGTATTTTTAACCAACTGTCACTTCGTAGATGCTGCTCAAATCCTTATTTTATAACCAGTATGTTGTTTGACAAGCTCACCTCACATGAGTTAAAGACAACAACTGTGCTGTGAATTCAACAATATTTTCATAGAATTAAAGCTGCTACCAAAGTCAGAAACCAATAAGACAACAAGGAGAAAATGAGTTGCCATGGAGTTCCCAGTTTAACTCTACAGTTTGCACATTAATAATGTCAACCTTTTGTTTCCATTTCATACTGTGCTGCCATGTACAATGACATACAGTTTGTCAAAATAGCATATACTTAAATTAAGTGGAAATTTTGCATTTCTCAAGGACAATTATTCTAAATAGTCACTACTGGCAGCCCTACCTCGTAGCTGATCTCTGTTTGCTCCACATATGTTATGTATTCCAGAGCCCACACACAGAGTTAGCCAGATTACACAAACATGGTGAAACTGATGTGCGCGTTCATGGTCAGAGCATCGTCTGAGCTGTTACTCCCAAATTCCATTTCAGAGTTCTCAGAGCAGGACAGTTTTAGTGATTTAGAGGCTGCAGGCAAATTCTGTTTTGCTTTATCGTCACCCTTTTATAGTAAATGTTAGTGTCGGCAAGGTACTTTGTGTTCTTAAGCAAAGACATTAATACTGAACAGTAAAAACACTTTAGAGGAAAAAGTGGTGCAGTGAATTTTTTTTAACTTTCAAGTGAAGAGTGAGGGAGATGAAAGAGAGAATGTAAAACAATCTAAATTCGTAAAAAAAAAAAAGAAAAAAGTTCCATTACAGTAGCTGATCAATAAGCAGTACCTTCGGTGAGTGTAGTTGTGCCGTTTAAATCTTCACAATACCCATCACTATCACAGAGGTTTAAGGTGAGGTGTAACAAACTTTATCTTTATCTGTAAAAGTCATTTTTTAGATTAGTCAGCAGACATGTCTTATTTTTATACATTCCTTAAATGACAGATGTTAGATCCTGGACATCAAATTATTTTATTCACTACAGAGGCATTAATTTGAATCCTGAACAGATGAGATGTTAGTTTCTCACTATGAAACACTGCAATAACAAAATATCAGGTGGTGAAATAATATCAGAGAAATAAGTCCAAACTCAGAAAGCCCTTTTAAGTTAAACACTACAACAGTTTTATCTTTTATGTCCAGTTAATGATAAAGCTGCCTGTGTTTGTTGTTTGTTTGTGTCTAGTGTCAGACGGAGAAGACGAGGATACAGAGATCCAGCCCCGTCCCCCCTGGAGACGTCTATTCCAGCACCGGCACACACAGATTCTCTGACAAGGTCTGTTCACACTCTTCTCTCCCTGAAACTCTACAAGCTCCTTTAATCATCCCACCAGTCTCACCTCCCTTTATTCCTCTTCCTTAGTGTTTTCTTATTTCTCACATTATTTTTGACATTACTTTTATTTTCCCACATTTATTTTGTCCATCATCCTCTGTGTTCTCATCTTCCCTGTAGCCTCATAGTCAGTCCTCCCCTGCTCTGATAGTCAGGGCCCCTCCTCATGACGTCCACAGATTCAGCGCTGAGGTAACTCGCTGCCAAGGCTGAGCCATTCACTCTTCCTCTGTCCCACTTGTCTGAAATAAACACTGTTTGCATGACTGTCGAATCCCTGGTAACTGCATGAGCTTATTCAAGGTATTGTAAGGTCCTTTAAAAGACTGTAGCAGCTTGAAGCATGAGCTCCTGTTGGATTTGTGTGGAAAGTAATTTATGTCCAGAGACAATGTGCTACCAGGTCGCCTGTGGACTATAGTAGACCTGCCTGGTACAACAAAGCACACAAGTTTGACAGTGTTGTTCCACCCACTGGGATCATTTAAATGTCAAATTTGGAAGTTTAACAGCACAAGTGTATAAAATTAGAAGGACCTACAGGTAGACAGCTTGAGAAATAATTATTTGACTTAAGATTAGATTAAATTTAGCTTTGATTCGATAAGATCTGAGACAACACTTAAGCATCTAACCAGAAGGACAGAAGAAGCAGTAAAAATGCAGCACCATATAGCACGTCTAGTAGAGAAGCTTTAGGTGTAGTATGGATATGGTAAGATGTATACTGTATGATTCAGTGTTTACAGAAGGAGCAGTATGAACACGCTACGTATATAAACAGAATAAGCTGTAGGCAATGAGTGCTGGATAAACAGCGATGTAAAGAAAGATGAATGTAAATATAAAGATAGGGATAACTGACAATATAAACAATGAAGATGTGATGCTTATATACACGCTGACCAGTGTTTACATGTACAAAATCTACATGGCTTCTATCATTTTGTTAGACTTTTAATATGGTGGTTGAAAATCATCTACAAATAATTTTATACAAAAAGAAGACATGGAATTAGTCTTAAAACAGTTAGTTCAGATTCAACACTTGGCGTTTGATTGTGCCTCATTCTGCAGCCAGGTTCTCCTCCAAGGTCTCATTTTCAGCACTCTGCTTTGGTCAGTTCAGTCATGATGATTCAGTCATGATGTTTCTGTCATGAGGCTTTTGTCAGTTTTTCTTCACAAAAACAAGACTTTCAAGCTTTTCTTCCCTCATGTTTGCGGTGTACAGTTCCCGTGGTTACAAGTGTTGTTTGTGTGTCACAAGATAAGGGGAAAATGCAGTTGACCTCTCTGTCCTCTAGTGATACAAGACTTCCTTTTCTCAGTAAAGTACATTTTGCCTGCATCCACCTTCACACCCGTTCATGACGTAAGACTATCCTTTTTCTAAGTGTCATAATGCTGGCCTGCATGTTTCTGTGGTTTCTTTCAGCTCTTTTGTCATCGGTTGTGTGTAATTTGTGGATGCAGGCCTTCCTGGCTTCCATTACTGCCAGGCTGAATACAAGATGATGCTTATTAGTGCAACTAATCAGTTTGTGATGAAGAACAGAGGCTTTTTGGCAGCAGAGCTCACTCTTCAACTAGTTAGGGAGCATTATGTTTGAAATGCTCACGGGTCAGTTTATAAAAAGAATTCATTTATGTTCATTAATCCTTCTTCAACGTTGTCATTTACCTTTTATTCACTGATTAAAACTGTCATCCTGACTCGTACCACACAGATGGCGACCGAAGGAGATTATACGCTTAGCATAAAATATAGATAAAGTTCAGCGGGTGCAGCTTTTTAGACAGCGCTTCAGCTGTTGTCTCTGGTTCTCAGCACACCTTGACTCCTGCGCTGATACCTGAGTACCTTTTCAAGTTGCCATGAATCATTGATGTCATTAAATCGTCATAATCAATATCGTCTTTTCTTTCTGTCGCTGGCCTTGTGTTGCAGGTGGAGGAGATGGTGCACAATCACATGACCTACTCTCTGCAGGATGTTGGCGGCGATGCCAACTGGCAGCTGGTTGTAGAGGAGGGAGAAATGAAGGTAAGCGGAGGAGTTTGGAACGACATAGTCGAGCATCTACTGTAGCGCTTTTCCTAAAATCCTGGAATGCACCGTTTTAACTGAGTGTTTTCTATCAAAGCCTGCATTCATACAAACAGCCTCGTACAAAAATGTGATTATGGAATGATTTCACCTGAATGTGGCGTTTGTGTGTACAGGTGTACAGGAGGGAGGTGGAAGAAAACGGGATTGTACTGGACCCACTGAAGGCCACTCATTCAGTGAAGGGAGTGACCGGTCACGAGGTCTGCCACTACTTTTGGGACACCACCTACCGCAACGACTGGGAGAGTAGGTTTCAGCCAACACTAGCTTCTGACAATCTACTCTTAAAATACCATTTAAACGTCATCTTTCATTCTAACACACGTTCTTGCTTCTTTTAGCCACCATTGAAAACTTCAATGTTGTCGAGACACTGTCGGACAACGCAGCAATTGTGTACCAAACACACAAGGTAGGAAGCTAAATATCTCCATTTATCTGGTGACTGACTCTCACACTGGATCTGCTTGTTTATTATATGATCATTAGAATCTTAAATCAGGTGTCCCCAACCACTGGGCCGCGCGGAAAGAATAAAACCATTTTATTGGTTGATTTTATTTTCAGCAGCGTCTGCAGGGTGTTTTATTTTGAAAAATGACTAGCTCATCTCCAGTCATTTCTGCCTGTGCTTGTTTCCACACTTGACTCAGTTTTCATGCTCGACCATTAAACAAAGCCGTCAGTCCAGCTGCTGCCAAAAGTAATTTTAAAAAAATTAAAATTATCTGGAGAGCTTCTTCAAAAAGAGGGACTCGATGCTGAGACAGAAGAAAAAGTAAATACATATGTAGCAATAAAAAGTAATTTCATTTGTTCCGGACACCTTTTTAATAGAAAAAACAATTATTATTTATTATGTGCGCAATAACCGGTCCGTAGAAAACTGTCTTGCTTGAAATCTGTCCATGGTACAAAAAAGGTTGGAGACCGCTGTCTTAAATGACAAAAACTCGTGTGTGTTTCAGCGGGTGTGGCCGGCGTCTCAGAGGGACGTGCTGTACCTTTCTGCCATGAGGAAGATCTTGGCCAACAATGAGAATGACCCCGACACCTGGCTGGTCTGCAATTTCTCCGTGGATCACGATGACGCGCAGGTGAGCCATCAGATCAGTTTAAGGTTTCTGACACCAACCAAGCAATTTGCCGTTTCTGTACAGCGTTCATGAGATGCCGCTTTCGTTAATTCTCTGTTATTTCTCTCGCCGCAGCCAACCAACAGGTGTGTTCGTGCCAAAATCAACATCGCAATGATCTGCCAGACGCTGGTCAGCCCACCAGAGGGAGATAAAGAGATCAGCAGAGACAACCTCCTGTGTAAAATCACCTACGTCGCCAATGGTCAGTGTCCACCAACAGAAACATCCATCCATTATCTATACACCACTTAATCCTCACTAGGGTCGTTGGGGGCTGGAGTCTATCCCAGCTGACTTAGGGTGAAGGCAGCGACCTTCTTGCTGCGAGGCAATGGTGCTAGCCACCGAGCTATGTTGCAGCTGACAGAAACATTCAAATTTAATTTACGAAAGTGTTCTATTTTTGTAGCGTACATTGCACAATAATGTAGCAGCCTTTAGTATATCAATAGCAAAAGTGAGTTCGTCGTCATGGTGAATCCGACTGAAGGAGGCTGTTCAGTCCTCTCCTGGTCAAACTTCTGCTAGTTAGGCTACATAGGAAACTCTCAAGTTTTAGCAAAGATTGCAGTTGGTCATCATTTAAAATAGGTCAGTCTGTCCATTAGTAATGTTCATATGTACGTCATTAGGATTTACTGTTTTTTACTGCTGGTGTTAAAAAAAAAAAACCTGATTATAATGTAATTAAGGGACATATCATCTCTGCTGGTTTTTCATTCTACAAGTTTGATTGTGAAACACGGTGTTAAAAATATGTTTAAAGTCTCACACTGAACTGTGTGTAACCTGCAGAAAGTCAAGTCACTGTTATTTATGTAGCACATTCCTTTCCAATAGAAAAATGGGATTCATTTAGCAAATTTGCCAAACAAATAAAAACAATAAGGTTAATACTCAACATTATTTAACAAAGTTCCTTAGAAACATATTTACTGAGCTTAAGACCCCACATTATCACATGTAATACACATTTACCCAAGAATCTTGAATGTTAGGGTTAAGGACCAACAATATCATACTATTATTCCACAGAATTACCTGACTCATGTAAGAATTAAGGTTTACACCCCACAATGTTAGATGTGGAAAACGCTGATGAAGCTCTGAAGAATGCAAATGTTAGGCGTGGTTTCCATTTGGAGGGAAAAAGAGCCAATTTTTAAAGAGGGAAAAAAATATGTCTCCATCTAATCCAGTTCTAAGCATTCGATCGTTACAAATGTGAAACGACCACATTTTGGCTCTTTCCTTTCTCAGGTCGTCGTGTTTGCTTTGGGGTCACTGTGACCCAAAACATCCTGAGGAAGGATGTACCAGCACACGTTTAGTGGTGGCTTTTTTTTATTTTTAAACATCCACTTGGATGTTTCCTCTTTAAAATTCATGTTATGCGACCTTGGGAGCTGTTTCGACAAATTCTAATGTGTTCCAAAGTGGTTATTATTAACTCAGGCCTTCCTGCTTGGTGAAGTTGACATCCTGTGTCTCTGTGCAGTGAATCCTGGAGGCTGGGCTCCGGCCTCTGTGCTCAGGGCTGTGGCGAAGAGGGAGTACCCCAAGTTCCTCAAGCGCTTCACCTCCTACGTGCAGGAAAAAACTGCTGGCAAGCCCATCTTATTCTGAGACCTATGGGTAAGACGAGGGGTGCTCATCTGGTTTGATGTCTACATCTGTCACTACTGAGTATGTATTGAGCAAGTAGGTGTGCTGCAACATTATAACACAACCTTCTCCATCTTTTCAGTGTTGAGACATGAGGACGGAGCTGCATCTGAAGCTGAGGACCTGCTACCTGCTGCTCTGCTGCCATGAAGAAACACCTTCCTCACAGTGAATTTCCCCTCCCAGCCACAGGTTCATCCCAGTACAGGAGGAAGAGTTCTACTGGCCCCCTCTGGTTGCTGCATTCAAAATCAGCCTGCGAGACCAAACCTTGACCTCTGAGCGATATTCATATGAAAGAACCTTCTCCAGTTGATTGAAACCAAGCAGTAATTCATCATTTCACAGACATTACTGCTTGGTTTCTTTCCCCTTCATCGTGGTTTAATTTACAAAATACTACATGAAAGTAGTGTAAGATGATTTGAAGTGTCAGTAAAACCCTGGTTAGTGTTTTTACATTTGTCTCCTGAGATAAATGCGCCCAGCTGTGGGCCGGCTTGTTCCTGTCCCTCCTCCTGCTGCAGCAGCAGCTCCTGAAGCCACATCTTTCATGCTCACATAGGAGACCAGTTTAGGACAAATGTGTTAATATATAAATGTATGTATGTTCTGTAAGAAGTTTGTAAAAAAACAATGAAACAAAAATCTCACTCAATAGACTGAAAAATGTAGCTCCTATTTTGTGTTGATTTTTCATATTATTCATAAATTGTGCAATTTTCCTAGTTTGTAAAACACCATAAATGATTTGTTAGTAGTAAGTCCAGAGGGCTGTCATGAACCGATGACCCCTATGATGTGAGACTTCACCTTTTCATCTCTCTCATGAAAACACCTTTTCGGTGCCGACGGAGAGACGAAAGATTTTCATTTATGTCGCGTGCAAAACAGACTTTGTGTACATTATTTGCTCGGCTTTGTGTTGTTCATATCTTTTAGTGTCATAACACACGTTTGTGAATGAATTGTAAATAGTGTCACTAACATTTTCGCTGAAGGTCTGCAAAGCTTTTTTTGTGACTTGAGCCCAAATGCCTTAGTGTTACATGAAACGCTAGATTCAGACGGGACACCGGGTGCTGGTAGCGCACCTTTGAAATCACTAGTGAAGTGCCTCATGGCTACGATCCCCTTATCGATGTCTTTCAGAGTCTTATTTCAGCTTTGTCTGACCGTATAGTTACTGAATGGGTGCGACGTGTTACTTAGTTGTTTTTTTCACATGTTCTAGTATTATGATGTCAGATTCATTTCAGTTTCATTTCACTGTCAGCCTCCTCAACTTTTCAGTCAGTATTTCTGGGATTTGTTACATGTGCAGTTAAACCCATTCTGTGTCTTTGCATCATGTATTTTCTGTCTAAAAATGTTGATAATACGTGTGCAGGACTGTTAGTTAAGGATCTACTGTTTAGTTGAGGTTTTATAGGAAACATTGTGCTTTCAATTGATGCTTGTTTTACAGAATAAAAATGCAATTCTGGACGTTACAGTTAACACTGGTTAAAATGGGTCACTTTTTTTTTTAATAGGACATTTTTTAAGCACACAGAAATATGGTTTTCATGATCTTAATGAGGAAGTTTCCAGACAATGCTTCACAAAGTAGAGCACCAGAGTACATTTTTAGTTGCATTTCCACCCCTTTGACAGCACAAAATGTTTTCCTGGTGACGGATTTGTAGCTATTTTATCAGTCTTCACTCTTACGCCTTTGAATTTAGAGCTAGAAGATGTGGGTGAAGTGAAGCCACATGATGCCCCAGGCTGAAGCTCTCTCACCTAAAGTTAACATTTCTAATGCTGGTTTAGTTGTTGGCATGTTGTTTAAGCTGAATGTAATTAGAAATACTTTTTTTTTTTGTAAATAATTTGTTCATACTAATGCTGTGGGATCAACTTATAAATGTACTGTGACGACAATGTGGCACTTCTTCTGCCCTGTTTTAAAAGTGAAATAAATAAGTTTATCCTCCTGTTCTCTGTGTGTGACCGTTTGTGTGTGTTACAGAAAGACAAACATGACCATGTAGGGTAGTGTTATTTATTTCTTAAATAAGACATAGAACAATCTTGACATTTTTAGCTTGAAAATTGGATATTCTATCTAAAGCGTGCTAAGACGTCTCTTATGTAAGGCCACTTCTTAGCTCCAGCGCTTTCTGAAAATGACGATACAAGAACCTTTTTTCCACTCCCATTCCAATAAATCCTCCAATAGCTGTGCACATATAGTGTACCGTATAAATTTAATAAACTAATATGGCTTTCATTTTTCTTTAACTTAAAAAGAAACTCGCACCGAACAACTCGTGTTGGTAGGTGGTTGATCAGAACCACGCTCTGACCAAAAACTAATGTCTGTTGTGTTTTTTCTTAGAAACAAGAAGTCCAACAGGTTCGGTCAATCTACAGTATACACAGTATACAGTAGCACCTTCATTCATTCTACCACACTGTTAGTACAACATACATTCAGGCATTAAGTTGGCATTTTGAACACAAGTCATCATTACATCAACAGCGCTGTCTCAAGCAAGCTTTTGGCGAGTGCAAAGATCCATTTCTGTTTTTGTCTCTTGATCGCACTTCATGCATTCCACATGTAAAACCCATACAAGAATTTAGTCAGAAGTTGCATCCGTCCTCTGATGGGAAAAGCCGTTCGCTTTTGGTCGTGCCACTCTTCAGAGGCACAGGATTCTTGAGCGATCCGAACACTATCAGTGATTCACAGTGGTCTAACAGACCAATAATAACAGCTTTCTTGAACACTAAAAAAAAAAGTTCCAGATGCAGACAAATGGCACAAATTAGTCGCAACGAAACATTTCAACCCCAAAAAGTCTTGCAATCAGTCAGGTGGCACACAAAGCAAGCACATGTTGGCTGTTTAATAGCAGTCTGTGATATGAGGACGTCCCACAGCGCTCCTCCAGAACCACATCATCACAGCAAAGGTTCCTGCTGTTGGCTGCGGCTCTCGTCCACTCAGGATGCACCATCGCTTCATGTCACGCACTCGACTTTGAAGGTATCTCTGCCAGGTTGGTTTTAGATCTAAGAGAGGGACAGCAAAGTGAGAAATCTCTGGGAAAATTCCAACATGTACCAACAACAAAGAGCGCAAGTAAAAATCCAACCTGTTGTGGGTCATGTGACTCTTGACGAGGTGTCCGGCGGCGAGAGCTGCCATCAGGGAGAGCTCCCCCGCCAGGACGGTGGCACAAACCACACGGGCCAGCTGGCGGGCGTTCTCACCCGGCTGCTCCGGACTAGTGCCTTGAACACCAAGCATCTAAGAACACAGATTAGAACAGATATTGATGTAACGTTTCTACGTCAGGGAAACAAAAACATCTGAGATCTGAGTAACTGATGTGTGTTTCTGGTAATTCAAGCTCCCAGCGAGCTGTTCTTTTACAGGGATCCTGCCTTATTGGCACACATCAGCAGATTCTATTTAAATCCTGCTGTAGACATTTGATTCATCACAGAGTCACTGGAGGGTCATCGTTCCCTTTCCCCTCCATCTGCTACATCTGAAAAACTCAACTGTCATGTGCCCAGCTGAAAACTGCAGTCAAAGGTTCAACGTGACCTAAGCGTACTTTTTTTTGGTGAATGTATGTGTAGAGTCCATCTCTGAGTGGGTTTAAATGTAGGGCCTTGCTGTGTAGGATCTTTAAACCTTTCATCAGTTCGATAAATCCTCTGACGTACTTCAATCAATTTATGAAGTGAAGGATTATAACACTAGGATGCACAAAAAACTTGCTTGTTCATTTCACGCACAAGTTTTTATACATTAAACTGTGAAATGAAACAACCATAAAATAAAAGGTTTGAACTGTCTGAGTCCTAAAACCCACTGGCAGGTTAAAAATGCACTAAAAGACATATAATTGCCAAAGTTACACCATTTATCAGAGCCAGAAACTGTAAAAACAGAATCACTGAATTGTTATTTTCTACTTTCCAAAAGTTTTTCAACTAATCATGTGATGACGTGCTGTACCAAATCTAACCTTAAAATCATTTCATCTAAATCACTTGGTGCAACCATTAAGCCATTATTGACGCAGTGTGTGAACTAAAACTTGAAGACTTTAAGCAGAAAAATACATAAACCTATTACAGAAGGTACAAACCCACTGGACTGGGACTATCTAGTGAGGTGAAATGAGATGCGGTGTCAGTACCTGCAGACAGGCCTGCTGTGGAGGCAGGTTGGTGCCTCCTCCCACTGTTCCCAGCTCTATGGAGGGCATAGTGCAGCTGATGTACAGGTCCTCCCCTGCCGGACCAGCAGGCTCCATCTGAGTGATACAGTTGGAGCTGCCCACCGTCTGAGCCGGGTCCTGAACCGCAACACAGAAATACTGATCAGATAAAAAACCGCAGCTCACACAAGCCTATGAAGATCTTATATCATTTACAGACGTCACCCTCCATATATAAAGTCTCCCTGTACTCATTAGTTGTGAATGGATTTAGCTGCAAAGCTGCTCTACAGTTGAAAGCATGATCATAAATATTTATTGCTTTCATTCTACTTAACACACTTCACAAGGATTCATCTCCAGGGATTTCTACTTATAGAATAACTCTGTACAATATCATTATTTTGTCACATCCAGAGGAATCGGGGCAATACCTCGACTTTCTACATGTAAAAGAGTCTTCACTATATCAACAGTACATGTTTGGTTTATTCATTTTCAAGATTCAAGAAATTTGGGAAATTTGTTTTGGGCTATTTCACCCATGCAGCAGCCACAAACAGGGAAAATAGAGTTAATAGAAAGAATAAATAAATATATGCATTTTTACTGATGTCCTCATGTTTATGAGCTATCCTTCCTTTCTGCTGTAACACTGAAAACGTCTCTGCTGTGGGATCAATAATGATTATCTTATCTTGTCCTGCACCTGCTCTGTGGCTGGTTAATCATGCATATTGGAAACTGAAATCCAATCTTCTTACAGCAAAATCCTATTTTGCTGCTACAGGGAACATTCTGGGTTCTTGTACAGAACTGAGTGGAATATAATTCATTCCTTCATGTGGTATTCTACGGCTGTACATCTGTTAAAAAGCTCTCAAAGCCTGCACTGAATTGGGGAAAAGGGCATTAAGTACGTTGTCCCGTTTGCCTGGAATCAGTTGTGAAATTGGCTGAATCTTAAAGAGCTGATTACAGTAAATGAACTCTTCATGAGCTGGAAGCAGATCTACACAGTTAGACTATTATGACTGATTCACATTGAACCCGTCTGATCACCAACATTGACTCGTGACATGTTTGTGTGATTTTATGGGACTGTAATACACTCTCCATCTTTATGTCAACCTTGTTTAAACTGTACATACTTCTGTAACCTGTTGAATTAAGGTGCTGTCTGTGTCTGTCAGGACGCTTTAATAAAACAGATTCCTAATCTCAATTAGACTACTGCTTGACACATTTTTATAAAAGACAATTTTAGCTTCCAACATTGACACATTTCTGCTTCTTACATGCTTTGGAAAATGGTTTCATTTTTCCATTGTATCTTCTTTTTTTTCATCTCTTATTTTCCCCTGAAACACACGACGCTGTAACAAATACCAATGTCACTGATGAGTTACACCAGGAGTCTGTGCTGTTTCACCTTTTAAACATTTTTATCCTCTTCCTGAACCATCTGGATACTTTTAGGGACCAACTGTATAATGTATGAGGCAGAGCAGGGCTGCAGACTAACTTTTTCACTGGTAGCACTGGTGTGATCAACTTTCCTATATGGTCACACTTCCCACCTGGTCACGGGCAAAACACATCACTAGCTGAACATCTTCTGACTGATAGACACTCTATTTACCGGTGTTCCCTAAACGCCCCACATCACAGGCTGCGGTAGCTGCTGCTTGGTGGCTCAGACTGGTGTGTGATCAAAAATGAAAGTGCGCGCTGCACTTCATGATAAGACTGCATTTTAAGTGTAGATACCGCAGTACCTCGGGTTCATGTAATGGTGCAAAGCTAAAAACATTATTGTGATGAATATTCATTCAATTTTGTAGCCCTACTTCTGCGTTAGCCATTGGAATTGAACGGATTTCTTTTTCCTTCACTGGTTCTGTCGGTGTCGCTCTGCCTGCATCTGTTCTCTGACCTCTCTGTCTACCTCCTCTTCCCTCATTTTCTTTCTAAATAATCAGCTACAAATCAATTGATCTTTTGAACATACATCAACTTAACATTCAACTTAGAGACAGACAGACAGCAGTTTGAAAAGTTCCACTTTGCACCACTGTGGTTAACGCTGCCGCTTCCTGTGGTTGCAGCGACACTAGCACAGCTTCATGATCACCATGCACTTGAACCAATACGACCATTTCAAAATTCAACTTGCACACTCTCAAAAACCATCGCTCCAGACTGCGGTCAAAATGATAGCAGTTTAGAGCCATAGGCATCAAGTAAAGCCTGTTGAGGGATCCCTTACCTGTCCACAGGCGATGTAGATGGCTGCTACAATGTTGGCAGCGTGAGCATTAAAGCCCCCTATACTGCCAGCCATGGCTGAGCCCACCAGGTTCTTACTGATGTTCAGCTCCACCAGAGCAGCTGTACTGCTCTTCAGCACCTGCAGAGACATTAAACAGGCCGGTTTCATAAGGTGAGCACCATTTTACGAACAGAACAAACAGCAGCATTAAGCAAAAACTGTGGAAACTAAATCATGGATGAACTTTGACTTGATTCCACTGTTAAAATGTGTAATGTAATCAGAGGAGACTGGATAGTCTTTACCTCCCGGACCACTTTGGCAGGAATGGTGGCCTCACACACAGCAGACTTGCCCCGGCCCATGATCCAGTTAATGGCAGCAGACTTCTTGTCGATGCAGTAGTTGCCACTGACTGACAGCACCTCTACATCTGGATACTGTTGCTGGAGTCTGCGCAGAGCATGCTCAGTCCCCTGGAGGAGACACGTATTTACAGATGTGAACATGCTGGATAAACGCGGTACAAATGAGTGAGCTGACAAGCAGAGCAGCAGCTAAAGTTCAGTACAATATTTTCACCTGAAGTGACTCCTGATTTAAAAGATGAGTTTGTACCTTGGAGAGCATGTTCATGCCCATGGCGTCCCCTGTCAGGGACTGGAAGCGAATGTACAGGTTTCTGCCAGCTATGCACACCAGCAGCTTTTCCAGACGAGCAAACCTGCAAAGTGAAAATAATCATTTATGAACTGTCTGCCCTCACATGTGACTACAACATTTCATATGTGTGAGGCTGTATTCATTCTGTTGGGCTTCAATTCTACACAGCTTTCATGTGGGGAAATGCATTTCTTTACAGATGGATGGAAACTTCACTGCAGCTGTGGGAGAGAGGCTCATCTTATCTACTTTTTTTTAGAGTCCAGTTTTATGGATTATGCACATTGTGCACTACTGTGACCAAGACCGGACCACTGCTACATGGCAGGAGACTAAAGAGGTGGGCCTGGCAGGTGTGTAGCCAGTTCTTAACATGTTTTTTCTTTTTATCTTTTATTATCAAAAGTTTTCTCTTTATAGATGTATTAACAGATTAAAATACAAACACACAAAAATTAGAGTTTGGTAAAAACACAGTAATAACCCTGTGCTAACATAATTATAACACAGTAATATATATTTCAAACTAAATATATCCAAACAAACATGATTACAGAATAAAAAATCGACACTATTTTAAAGTTAAGAAACACTGCATAAAACAACTGAATGTCAATACACAAATAAAAATTAATTAGTTCTTTCTTTCATTAGTACTAACCAGACTATCTCTCTCAGTAAATACTTTTCAAATGTAATTTGTATTACTCGTGTGCATTGTTCTTATGTATGTTTCTAATCAGTCACAGAACAACGTCAATCAACTGAACATTTGTTTGTTTAGTGCCAAGTTCCCAACAATGCTGATCAAATTAAAGTTATATTGTTCTCTTCATTGTAGAACCTCCAGTGGGTGGAATCGAGGCATTAGTGTCGTGTCAGTGTGGTGTGTCTACTGACCTGCTGGTCTGGTCGAAGGCCTCTTTGATCAGGCTAAATCCATCAGAGGTCTCAAGCCAGACTTTGACCTCTGCAGCCCGGCAGGCTGAGGGCAGCCTCACTACAGGACCCCTGGTCATGCTGTCAGCCAGGATCCTGCTGCTGCAGCCCCCGCTCAGCTGGGCAGGAAAGATAACAGCGTCACCACAATACACACGCATACACAGAGTTACCAACAGCTACAGATAGGTGACAAATGAGGGGAAAAAACAGCATGAAGCGTCTCATTAAGGTGTGGGGTCATCATGTGACACCAGCTTCACTGCACTGATTCTCTGGACTGTGTCTCTGGAACTATACTGGAGGGATGAACGACATTCTTCCAAAAGACATTCCCTCATCTGGTGTTTTGATGATGATGGAGGAGAGCACTGTCTAACATGTCGGTGCAGAATCTCTCATAGGTGTTCAACTGGGCTGAGATCTGGTGACTGTGAAGGCCATAGTTTATGAGTCAAATTACTTTCATCAAAGCTTTCAGTGACCCCTTGTGTCCCATGGAAGAAAGCATTGTCATCCTGAAAAAGTCCACTAGGATAGAAATTTTTCACCACAGGATAAAGGTGATCACTCACAACAACTCGGTATCGACTTCAGAGCTGCTGGGATTTGTCAGGATAATCAACTATGTAGACACTGTGCAGTGCTGAAAATTTAGCAATATGTTAACAGATTTGTTTTAAACTCCCACCAAAGTCAGGAAATAATAACACAAGAGGGATAAAAATGAGTTGCTTTAGCTGCTCTTTAAAAAATATCCACTGTGTCCATGTTGCACCTTGTTTAAAATTCACTTTGTAAAGGGGTTTAATAGAAACTTGGATTTCTTTTGAAGCAAAATCCCCTCACACGATATAAAAAGCCATCAGATCTCCTCACTGTGGGTGTGAACAGTTCAGGTCTTTCCCTTTAATTTATCAACCACAAGAGATTCCTCACTTACAGAAAGCGCTCTGCATCCTCTGTTAGTGCTGGCTACCAGGCAGCCCTCTGTGGTCGCCATAGGAACGTAAAACTGCTTTTCATCCAACAGAAGAGGCCCAGCCACACCTACTGGCACCGGCATGAAGCCGATAACGTTCTCACAGCAAGTACCCATCACCTACGATGCAAGGACACAATGTAATAGTGATTAAATAAACACTATGCAGCAGCTTCAACGTGCACATAGAAACATTTCATTTGTTAAAAAAACAAAAAACAAAATTATCTGCTGGTAGATAAAACAAAAACAACTGAAGGCAAAAAGCTACATTTCTTAACCATGCATTTCGCAGATGACTGTTGCCAGTACCTTTGAGTAGTCGTAGTCCTTATAAGGCAGACAAGCCAAGGCAGTGGCCACGGGCAGTTTGGGTGATAACATTTGTCTCCTGATGGCTACGCCCCTCTCTGGAGTCTCAAGGACAGCTTCCAGTTTGTAGTTCAGGATTTTACATGAGGTTACGAGGGTCATCACCTCTGCATCGCTGAGCAAATGGGCGCCTCCCTGGAAAACACAAACATGCACAAATCAGGGATATTTTTAGCCTATTAGGTAAACACAGGGGATCAGATTTATTGTGCATCCTGTCTGATCTGGGAAGCTTACCTGTGGATCTGAGAGGATGGCCATGCACTCCTCCAGCGACCGGGGCTCTGAAACACTTTGAGGAGCACAAGGTGTCTGAGCGAGGGACTCCTCAGAACAGGAACCACAGGCTGCTGAAGGCTGAGTCACTTCTGTTGCAGAGAAACCAGGAGAGGGAGGGGGAGACACCCCACTCATAATGAGCAACAATTACGTCACAGTTTTTGAATTTAATGAATGAGTACAGATGTTTTTTTAAACTCGAAGCAATAACTAATGAGTCTCACCCTTCTCTTTGAAAACCACGTCTGCCTCAGGGGAAAGTTTACAGTCGGAGACAGCCAAGAAGGTAGGACTGGTTGCCAAGCTACCATTTGAGGTCTTCTGGGGTTTTGGGGTTGGGAGTTCCTTCCTGCAGCAGTCCTCGGCCATCCAGGGCTTCTGGGTTGGAGGGGAGCTGATAATGGGACTCTTGAGGGACAGTGAAGACTCTGTCTCTGCTTGCTCAAAGAAGACATATTTCACAGCCAGAAGCAGAGCGAGACCCAGGGTTATCACCTGCTCCAGGTCCATGCTGGTAGGTGGAGAGAGACAAAGTTAGGCATCAGTGTACAGGAATCAGTAATAAAATGTACCGTTTAATACAAATGGACAAATATAACTGTGTAAAAATGTACACGATCTCTTTACCTGCTGAGCTTTACAGGCCACTGGGTACCACCAGAGATCAGTCTCTTCGGTATGGGTAACTCTTCTGTGCGATTCTGACCCGAGTGCTCGGATAATAGTCGAGTGTGTGCATGAACCAAAGCTAAGCCCAGAGACTGAAAGATATCACACAGACATTGTAGTTAATACTCTGCATTTCAATGGTGTATTTTTAGGGAATTTTTAATTGAGACAAGTAGAAAAAGTGATTTTGATCAAATATCACATTTTAAAGTTTAGATTTCTTAATTTTCTAGAAAAAAAATGCACATCAAACATGATTATCTCAAGGACTGGCAAAAAAAAAATTTCAAAAATTAAAAATTAAACAACAATTCTTTCTATTTTTACAGCTTCTGGCTCTGAAAAAAAGTGTGATTTTGGTGATGCTTTTAAAGAAAGCATGCTGTTCAACACTACAGGCAGTTTTTCGGGTTCAGAGGGTTACCATATCAACACTCCTAATACGTGCACTAACAAGGCTGAAACTAGTTTCTCACCATAATGATTTTCACCCTTTGGGTCACAGGGTTGGGCTTGTTATCCTCCTCTTCAGCCAGCACACGGGCAAAGTGACTCAGCTGCCAGATGGGACGGCCTTCGCGGCTTTCCCTTGACAGCTATGTACACAAATGTGCATAAAAATGTATCGTGAGATTCAAGCAGCTCACTGCTTCTGCTTCATCCTGTCAGACATCAGATTTCCTAAAGGTTATCACACTTACCTCCAGGACCAGGGAGACACACGCAGGGAAGAACGTCATGAAGACGAAATAATTGGCCAGAACAGACATACAGCCAAAACAGCACATGATCTCTAACTGAGGCACACCTGGAAAACAACAGAACCACTGCTAATTTCATTTTTTGCTCAATTTAGCATCACAACAACATTTCTAATGTACTGGGGCAACAACTAATGATTATTTTTCACTGTCGATTCATCTGTTGATTATTTTCTCGATTAATTGAAAAGTTGTTTGGTCTATATAAAAAAAAAAAAATGTTGATGAGTGTTTCTTAAATCCAAAGATGACGTCTTGTTTTGTACACAACTCACTACTGTTACAGATGAGGAGAGAACCCAAAAAATATTCAAATTTGAGAAGCGTTTGAGAGTTGATAAATAACCGATTATTCGTCAAGTTTTGGTAATCCTTACCTGACATGGTGCCAATTCCTATAACCAGACACTCGACCAGAGCATCGAGGGTGAACGTGGGGCCCAGGATGGCCATGCCCTCTGAGATGTTCTCCCTCACCTCCTCCTGTACGTAAGACACAGAGCCGTATCATTAGTGAGTGACACTTCATCTATATTCTCCATATGAAACAGTTACAGTTCATAAACATGGTTAGAACAGGTGTGTGACATTACCTGAGAGTTCGAGCTGAGCGCAAATTTGGCTAAAGCACAGGCTTTGGACAGGTCAATGAGCAGGAGAAAGAACGGCAGGGCTTCACTGCACGAAAAGGAGTCAAATGTCAAACAGGCTATTTTCATTATTTACAATGATGGATGTGCAGTATTTTTTAAATGAAAAATCTATAATTTTTATTCACATCTTCAAGCAGAATAAGACCATCATAGTGCCCAGATGGTACCCTACATCAACCAACTGACCTCTGTCAAAATGTCAGCTATTTTAACTGTTTGATCTCAAACAGCTGGCCTGCTGTCTCAAACTGTTTCCTACAAACCTATGGGAATACCGTTTGGTCAGTAAACATGCTTTGGTTTTAAAAGCCTCTTCTTCAAACATTCCTTAGAATAAATGTTTACAGCTATGCTTTGTGCACTTAAAAAGAGGATGAAACTCTTCAGCACTCTAAATACAGAGATTTATTTCTCCTTCTAACGAGCCTCTTGATTAAAACCGCATGAACGCAATTTCTGGGAAGAAGGAACAGCTTCAGTAAACTAAGTCATAAATATAAACACTTTAAGCAGATCATAAACTGTTGCAGGAATCTTGAGTGTATGTCAGTGTATTGGGAAAACTCACTTGAGGCCTGTCAGCTCTTTCCCAAAGAAATGGATGACCACTGTACTGAAAACAAAGCTGGAAAACACTGTAAATAATCCTGCAATACCTGCAGTAAGAGAGAAAACAAAATGTTAACAATTTATTTCAATAATATGTTCAGTTGTTACCGACAGCCAAGCGCTATAAGTTTGAAGGAACTGAACACACCTACATATTTTTTGTGTTGTAAAATGAATCAAATATTCTAAATTAATATTACATTTTCCTTCTGAATTACTGAAGTTGGATTTTGCATTACAGAAGCATAAATATTCAAATGGCCCAGTCTGGCACCAGAAAAACAAAACATACCCTCAAATCTACGGTTAAATGTACACTATGTGTGATATATGCAGCAGTGTCATTAAAAAGCTCAGCACTGAACAAGCGCAAACATCTCAATATACTGACCTAGTATATATTTGGATCCCAGTTGTCGGAGATTCTTGAACTGGAAATAGATATAAATGATGGCCATGCAGCGGGTGACAGTCAGAATGATAATGTCACTGCTGTGAACTTTCTGTAAGAGATCAGGCACACACGTCTCCTCATTAGCATCAACAATATATGGTTTCAATATCAATAAAGCAATGTGCATATGTAAGATCATAGAAAATTTCCTCAACACATATGCACACTAAGCACATCGCAGACAACGCGATGAGAAGTAAGGCAAACACATCACACAACTGTTTATACAGCTACAAAAACATATGATACAAAAAGAAAATGTGCACAGTTCTCATTTTCCATGACTAATTTAGAGTCAAGGTCCAGGGCTCCTGACTGTGACCAAAATGGTCGTATTTGCGACCTTTTTTTGAGAGTGTGCGAGTTACAATTTCAACTGGTCGCACTGGTTTGAGTGCATAATGATCATGAAGCTGTATTAGTGTTGCTGTAACCGGCAGCTACTGTGTTAATCACAGTGGTGGAAAGTAGTACTTTTAGAACTTTGATATATTTACACTTCTTGTGAAAGCGCAGCACTGTTTTCCCCTCATTTACTCTTTAATATCAGATGCCTTTGCCAGCATTACACTATGTACGAAAAGTTGCAAACAGCTTTTAGAACTTCTTTTGATATTATTTGAAATTTTTGTTGCAGATGCACTCAGAATAATCATTTTGGATGATTAATTCTTTTCTAGTAGAGTTATTCACGTCATTTGGTGCTAATTCCTCACAATGTTGATTGCATTCAGCATCATGCAGGTTTCACTTGCTTCAAAGCGCCACACCTTCACCAGTCTCACCTCCTCGACTTTGGGGCACTCATTCCAGCTGCACATCTGGCTGCTGGTTGCGAGGTTGTTCATGGACACAAGGCACACAGTGAGAGCCAGGGTCCCCACTATGACCTCCCAGGGGTGAGAGGCCACCAGCAGGCCATGGAGCCTGAACAGACGTGCCAACATGGTCTCAGGATGTCTTCCTGCAACTGAAGGTCACCGCCTCAGCTAGGGCTAAAAAATTGGAAAAAATATTAAGGATATTGTGGTTACCTTGACAGATATTCCAAATTGATTCATGATTTTAGTAAGAATTGTAATTTTCTTCTACACTAAAACAAAAATAAAGTTGTCATTTTGCTGTGGTCTGAAGTAGAGATTCAAGAATTAAACAATTGTTTCTCAACTCTGAAATTAATCAATTGCTTTGATCATCAAATAATCAATTTGAATAACACAATTGTAGAACAATTGTAATTATTATTTTTATTCCAGCTTCCTGATATTTTCATCTTTCTTTCCTCGTCTATGACAGTAAACTTGAATTTGAATTTCCCCAAGGAAAAAAGCAAATGATCTATGTATCGACCTACCTATCTATAAACAGAAAATATTCGGGACATTTGAGGACAATACCTTGGGCTATGCAAAATACCGATTGGCATTTTTACAATGTTCTAACATTTTACAGACCAAATAAATAGAGAAAATATTAACAAATTAATTGACAGTGAAAAAATGTTAGTTGCACAACTATTCTGTACCAAACAAGTATGTTCTCTATCGTCTGGAGGATATGTCCTATAAGCCAGAACATCTCTGCAACACCACACTTTTCATTTCTAATCCAAAAAATACAGCTCCTGCGATTCGTATATTACACTAGGATTTCTATATTTCGATTAATTGTTCAGCTTTAGCCTCAACTGCTTAACCAAAGGACCACTGCATCACGAGCATATGGCTAGCACACGCCTACTGAGTACAGACTCCTGTATGTTTAGCCGGCAGCTGTGACACCACAATATAGCTTGTTCTTGACGGTTAACTACCACGAATGATGAGCTTTTAGTTCAGAATCCACCGGTAGTGTCGTATGGCTTTAAAATACGGGTAGAAGCTCCCTAACCTCAATTGTTGGTTAGCATTAGCTACATTTTAGCAGTTACTACTTCTCACTGTTATCGCTGGTTAGCATTAGCTATATTTGAGCAGTTACTACTCCTCACTGTTATGACTCGTTAGCATTAGCTACATTAGCCGTCCCACCCGGGCTGATAGCCATGCCAATAAAGGTCTATTACTCCCACAGCCTTTGGACACTTTATTAATTTCTGTTTCGTAATCTAATAAAACTCACCTACTTCCAAAGGTAGGTTTCACCGAGGTCAGAGAGTCCTTTCCATAGCGGTACTGATGCCCCTCACATGAAGCCTTCAGCTAGCTACACTGATGTAACCGATATTCAATATGGCGATGCGGAAATCCTGACGCTGAGAACAGTCAGTGGGCGTGGCCAAGCGTGACGCTAAGGGTCGCCGAGAGAATAACACTGAAGTGACGTCCGAGTACGTTTTAATAAATTACGTATTACAGTATTTTTTCCACTTTTATTTTTTTTCATTGGTTATGTATTTGTTCATATACAAGCATTTAATACATTTTATTGTTGTTTTACATTTGTTGGACAATAAAATGACATTACAAACAATTTGGCCACGTGGGGGTTCAGTGTGCTGTCACATGCGACACATGAGATGATGACTCGTCAAAGATAGAATGATAGACAGGTAGATAGATAGATAGATAGATAGATAAGATTTTTTTATTATTATAAATGTTACACATTTATGAAAACACATTTTCTCAACATTTTTGTTGCAAAAACTTTTGTACTTATACAAGATATCTTTTGTGAAATTACAAAATCTGTACTTTTGGTTGTAACTAATTGTACCTAATGTTGGAAATATATTAACTGTATTCATTTTAAATGTCATAGTTTTATTTAATAACTTAAAAGAACATATTGGTACAACTGCAATAAATATGCAAATATGTTTGTTTTAAATAATCAATTTACTTTAAAAAAAAAAAAAAAGAAATATTGTCTCACAGTTTTTCACAGGTGTTTAATGTTATTTCACATTAAACATGCTGATTCACAGTCTGTCTTTGTAATGTTTTTGGTAATTTTGTGTATTAAAAATATGTAAAATGAAAAATAAAGCTGAAAAATTCCATAAAAATACTTTTTTTTTGTTTGTTTGTTTTTTTTTTTGGATTGTTTGTTTGTTTTGTGGTGTGTTAAAGTCAAGTGTCCAAAAATGAATGTACAGAAATAAACACATAAATTCAAAACAAGTGCTATGGGATTTGAATATTTTAAAGGGTTTTATTTTCATATGCAGCAATAAACAAGACATCAGTGCAATGAAATTCTTTGTACTCTGGGTCTCCACCTTGTGCATTGAAACACATTCATCACCGACATCTACTCATACATACTGAGGTAACAATAATATAGGTAAAAAGAACAGCACAAAAAAGAGTATCTACTTTTTTGTACAACTGTGCAAAAAAAAAAAGTAAGTCAAGATGTGCAACACACATCAGTGAGAACACTGCATTAAGTGCTTTGATAGGTGCTATGGTGAGGGGGAAAGGGGGACAGGGATCTGGCTTGGAAGTGTTCAGTCATTCAGACGTATGGCCTTGAACCTTGAGGTTCTGCATTTCAGCATCAGCCAGATGGCAGGAGAGTGAAGAGGTTGGGTGTGAGTGGGTGGGCTCCCAGATCATGTTGCTGGCCCTCCTGAGCACTCTGCTGATAGACATACTGTAGAAATGGGGGACCGTAGTTGTCATGTACAGGGCTTTGTGATGGCCGCTTCAAAACATTGACTTTGTTGTCCTGAAGCCTCTTTGTAATTTATCTGGCGGTACGCTGAGGGTCATTGTCGATTTGAAGACCCATTTGTGCCCAAGCTTTAACTTCCTAGCTGATGTCTTGAGATGTTGTTTCAATATTTCCCCATAATCTTTTTTCCTCATGATGCCATCTATTTTGTGAAGTGCACCAGTCCCTCCTGCAGCAAAACACCCCACAACATGATGCTGCATCACAGTTGGGATGGTGTTCTCAGGCTTGCAAGCTTTTCCCTCCAAATGTAACAATGATTATTATGACCAAACCGTTTAGTTTTAGTTTCATCAGACCACAGAACATGTCTCCAGAAAGGAGAGGACTTTGTCCCTGTGTGCATTTGCAAACTGTAATCTGTTTTTTTGTTTGTTTGTTTATTTGTTTGTTTGTTTGTTTTATGTTTCTCTGAAGTAATCTCTTCATCGTCTCAGAGTAGCTTTTCAGTCCATGTTGGTACAGGACTCGTTTCACTGTGGATAATGACACTCTCTTATCAGCTTCAGTAGCATCTTCACAAGGTCTTTTGCTTTTGTTCTGGGGTTGATATGCACATTTCTCACCAAAACACTTCATCTCTGGGACACAGAACCCGTCTCCTTTCTGAGCGGTATGAAGCCTGGTGTTTATACTTGCGTATAATTGTCTGAACAGATGAACGTGGAACCTTCAGGCATCTGGAAATTGTACCCAAGGATGAACCAAACTTGTGGAGGTCCATAATTCTCTTCCTGATATCTTGGATGATTTCTTTAGAATTTCCATGTTGTCACAAAAGGAAGCAGTGTGGTTGAGGTGTGCCTTAAAATCCATCCATACATTCCTCTACAACTAAAGATCTTTTTAATTAGAACTTATTTCATGATTGGTAACATGAACCCAAGCTGATTACTCCTACAAATTAACTTGTTTCAGCTAGTTTTTCCATCTAATGTAAAAGGAATTTTCAGGTTTGTATCGTATTATATCACCATAATTGCATTTAATTACTATAATTCAGAATACACGTTTTGAAGTCGGCAAACTTAAGTTAAATCATGTTAATCACATCGAGGAGGAGACTTGAAGTCCTGACCTCAAGATGAAGTAAAATGTAGTTATCAAGCTAATTTCCTGAACTTACATTTAATTTTAAATCAAACACAACAATTTGAGTGTAAATTACACACACTATTAAGTTGATGCAACATTAACAGTCCAACCCATCAAAAAATGTTTGCAGCCTATGATGTTTATCTAAATCAGTCAATTGGAATTGAAGTTAATTCAGCGGTGGAGAAAGGCTGCTGTTTGTTGTGCTGAGGCACTTGTGCTGCCTGGAGACTGGACCATGCTCAGTTAATTTCACATACCTGCGCACACTTTACCAGCTGTCCATTATTAGACACATGAGGAGAAGAACTGCCGCCATGTTCTTTAAGTTTGGGGAGTTTTTGNTTTTTTTGGATTGTTTGTTTGTTTTGTGGTGTGTTAAAGTCAAGTGTCCAAAAATGAATGTACAGAAATAAACACATAAATTCAAAACAAGTGCTATGGGATTTGAATATTTTAAAGGGTTTTATTTTCATATGCAGCAATAAACAAGACATCAGTGCAATGAAATTCTTTGTACTCTGGGTCTCCACCTTGTGCATTGAAACACATTCATCACCGACATCTACTCATACATACTGAGGTAACAATAATATAGGTAAAAAGAACAGCACAAAAAAGAGTATCTACTTTTTTGTACAACTGTGCAAAAAAAAAAAGTAAGTCAAGATGTGCAACACACATCAGTGAGAACACTGCATTAAGTGCTTTGATAGGTGCTATGGTGAGGGGGAAAGGGGGACAGGGATCTGGCTTGGAAGTGTTCAGTCATTCAGACGTATGGCCTTGAACCTTGAGGTTCTGCATTTCAGCATCAGCCAGATGGCAGGAGAGTGAAGAGGTTGGGTGTGAGTGGGTGGGCTCCCAGATCATGTTGCTGGCCCTCCTGAGCACTCTGCTGATAGACATACTGTAGAAATGGGGGACCGTAGTTGTCATGTACAGGGCTTTGTGATGGCCGCTTCAAAACATTGACTTTATTGTCCTGAAGCCTCTTTGTAATTTATCTGGCGGTACGCTGAGGGTCATTGTCGATTTGAAGACCCATTTGTGCCCAAGCTTTAACTTCCTAGCTGATGTCTTGAGATGTTGTTTCAATATTTCCCCATAATCTTTTTTCCTCATGATGCCATCTATTTTGTGAAGTGCACCAGTCCCTCCTGCAGCAAAACACCCCACAACATGATGCTGCATCACAGTTGGGATGGTGTTCTCAGGCTTGCAAGCTTTTCCCTCCAAATGTAACAATGATTATTATGACCAAACCGTTTAGTTTTAGTTTCATCAGACCACAGAACATGTCTCCAGAAAGGAGAGGACTTTGTCCCTGTGTGCATTTGCAAACTGTAATCTGTTTTTTTGTTTGTTTGTTTTATGTTTCTCTGAAGTAATCTCTTCATCGTCTCAGAGTAGCTTTTCAGTCCATGTTGGTACAGGACTCGTTTCACTGTGGATAATGACACTCTCTTATCAGCTTCAGTAGCATCTTCACAAGGTCTTTTGCTTTTGTTCTGGGGTTGATATGCACATTTCTCACCAAAACACTTCATCTCTGGGACACAGAACCCGTCTCCTTTCTGAGCGGTATGAAGCCTGGTGTTTATACTTGCGTATAATTGTCTGAACAGATGAACGTGGAACCTTCAGGCATCTGGAAATTGTACCCAAGGATGAACCAAACTTGTGGAGGTCCATAATTCTCTTCCTGATATCTTGGATGATTTCTTTAGAATTTCCATGTTGTCACAAAAGGAAGCAGTGTGGTTGAGGTGTGTCTTAAAATCCATCCATACATTCCTCTACAACTAAAGATCTTTTTAATTAGAACTTATTTCATGATTGGTAACATGAACCCAAGCTGATTACTCCTACAAATTAACTTGTTTCAGCTAGTTTTTCCATCTAATGTAAAAGGAATTTTCAGGTTTGTATCGTATTATATCACCATAATTGCATTTAATTACTATAATTCAGAATACACGTTTTGAAGTCGGCAAACTTAAGTTAAATCATGTTAATCACATCGAGGAGGAGACTTGAAGTCCTGACCTCAAGATGAAGTAAAATGTAGTTATCAAGCTAATTTCCTGAACTTACATTTAATTTTAAATCAAACACAACAATTTGAGTGTAAATTACACACACTATTAAGTTGATGCAACATTAACAGTCCAACCCATCAAAAAATGTTTGCAGCCTATGATGTTTATCTAAATCAGTCAATTGGAATTGAAGTTAATTCAGCGGTGGAGAAAGGCTGCTGTTTGTTGTGCTGAGGCACTTGTGCTGCCTGGAGACTGGACCATGCTCAGTTAATTTCACATACCTGCGCACACTTTACCAGCTGTCCATTATTAGACACATGAGGAGAAGAACTGCCGCCATGTTCTTTAAGTTTGGGGAGTTTTTGTTGTTGTTGTTGCTGCTGCTGTTTTGTGTCCTTTCACA